ATTGATGGATTAAAGGTAAAACGGGTTTCTTGAATTAGAATGTGATTCTAGACATTGTATTCTGCTCTATTGCATACTGCTTTTATGAATGTTGTTTGCCCAAACTGGTTAAGAATATCCATTAGAGTTCTAGATTGTTTTAACAGAGCGTCATTTAGCTACCTATTTGTTCTCATTCTTCTTAAGAAAATGCTCTTGGTCTACTTTCTCATTAAAATGATTTATTAGTCTGTAGGGACATTATGTTTTATACTCTGAACTTCTTAAGCTGCTTTAATTTTGATCTGTGTAGTCAATTCCCAGTTTTAAATATGCTTGAATTTGATTTATTCAGCTTTTGTCTTCCACCATTTCATTGTGTGTTTGTGCTGCATAGTAGCTTTCTATACCTTACTGTTGGTATTATGCTGCTGCGCATTACTTCATTAATGTATGTGAGGATGCATTTTGCCTCGTTAATTAGTTAAAGAACCCAACAGTTGCTTAGAACTAAATGGAGATTAAGTTTGTAGATTGCAATATCAGATATATCACAGGCTGAATGATTGTTCACATTTCTACCATATGTGGACAATATATAGAATTTGAATTTTGGAGAACTGAATCCCCATAAATTAAGATTATCAACATCTTCATGGGAGCATTTATATTTTATATATCAATGATTATTGGTCTTACTCTAATGATCTTTTTAACTTTGCCTTCTAGAGAGTAGGTGTGTGCAACCCAGTCGTGCTATTGGATGAGATTGACAAGACAGGTTCTGATGTGCGTGGTGATCCAGCTTCAGCTCTACTGGAAGTTCTTGATCCTGAGCAGAATAAATCTTTCAATGATCAGTATCCTACTTTCTTCTAGGTCTAGATTATCATGGTGAACCTTGGTTTTGGATAAATATGCATAAACTTTATTGACCTTTTATTAGTAAATCCTTTAAAAAAAATTGCATTGTTGTTTTACTAGATGGCTTTTATTTAAGATTTATTCCACTGGCATTTTTTGAAATCTATATGACTTTGCTGCAGATTTTACATGTTTATTTGCATCTATTACCTTCATGACTCTAAACAATTTCGTGAATATGAGTGGAACCCTTGTGGTTCTTTAACCGTGGTTGTATAGCTATTTGAATGTGCCATTTGACCTTTCAAAGGTGATTTTTGTGGCTACTGCAAATTGCGTGCAGCCTATTCCCCCTCCACTCTTGGACAGGATGGAAGTCATTGAGTTGCCTGGATATACAGTCGAAGAGAAGCTCAGAATAGCCATGCAACATTTGATTCCACGAGTTTTGGACAAGCATGGGTTGAGTTCTGCATTCCTTCAAATTCCAGAGGTGTTTATCATTTGTACATCTTTTCATCATTTTAAGGGTTATGCTTCCGTATTTGATTATATTAGGTATCTTGTCACTCTAAGTTCATTAAAATCTCTTGTCCTGACTCCCTGAGCATTGAGATGTTTTGAGAAATTTGTCAACTGGTCTTTGCATCCGTATCACCTCATATGGTTGAATAAACAATTGTAGGAACTAATATAAAGTATTAAGGGTGTGTTTGGGGCACATGATTATGATATGATAGGATAAGATGATATTATGAATAGGATTAGATTAGATAATGTCATCCTATTTTGTATTTGATGTGTACAGGGATTAGGATAAGATGATTTTATTTATTGGTCAAAATTATCCTTCCTCAAAGTTTATACAATTTAAATTATTGATGTAATTTTTAAGGGTATAATAGCACATCTAAGTTTAATCCTATGGATTAAAAATAATCCTGTCCACTTTGGGAGGATTCATCCTATGCCAAGAGGATGATTAATCCTCCTTGCATTCCTATCCCCTTTTTTAGATACAAACCAAACATGGTATAAGATGATTATCATCCTATCATATTGATCATCCTATGCACCAAACATAGCCCAAAGTCTGTTCCATTTCGTTTTGAAGGCTAAGCTTACTGTATGGTATTTTTGATTTCCTCCATGCAAGATCTCTAAACTGTTTCATTTTCAATATATAACAAAATGAAGCTGCATTCATTTCTTCAACTCTTCTGTTTAGGATTTAGATTTACATGTCTGAGTAGGATGCAAGACAAAAGAAGCAAATTTGTTCAGAATATAAGAATTGAATTATGCTGTGTTATACATTCCATTTTATTTATTTCTTTGCAATCCAACACCTTAAATTTGGTAATCTTTTCTTAATGCCTTTACCATTGTGGTAGGACATGGTTAAACTTGTCATTCAGAGGTACACCAGGGAAGCCGGTGTTCGTAATCTGGAGAGGAACTTGGCTGCCTTGGCTCGTGCTGCTGCAGTAGGAGTTGCTGAGCAAGAACAGGCTGTCTCAGTTAGCAAAGATGTTCATAAGCTAGCTTCTCCACTGCTGGATAACAGGCTTGTTGAGGAAGCTGAGATGGAAATGGAAGTCATTCCAATGGGTGTAAATAATCATGAGATATCAAATGCATTCAGAATTGCCTCACCTTTGGTTGTTGATGAGGCTATGCTGGAAAAAATATTGGGGGTAATAATTCCATGTATTAACTCTTTCTTTTATGGATATTCACTTTTTTGGGGGGCCAAGTGTGATGATTCACTTTAGTAAATCTTTAGAATTGGTGTTCCTAATTTGCATACATCTTAATGTGGTTGGGCATCGGTCCACCCTTTTAACTTCAATACTGGGGAGGGGGCACACCTGTCATGGTGTGAAAGTTTTTGAAAACTAAAAATGAGCTGACTAAGATTTTTTGGTTTTGAGTTTGTCCTTTACTGCTGCTTCAGGCATAAGCTCTTCATGTATGATATGGTCCAAAGACTTGAGTAGGCTTATGTTGACAGTGGCTTGAGTTTAATATTATTTCTTAACATTTCTGAGGGTGCTTATTTGCTTTGTAATACAGCCTCCTATGTTTGATGACCAAGAAGCTGCAGATCGTGTTGCCACTCCTGGAGTATCTGTTGGGCTTGTTTGGACCACTTTTGGAGGAGAGGTTCAGTTTGTGGAGGCTACAGCAATGGCTGGGAATGGTGAATTGCATCTTACTGGGCAACTTGGTGATGTTATTAAAGAATCAGCACAAATAGCACTGACATGGGTATACTTTCTTGGATCACATATTTTCTACATTTGTCTGGTGTAAAATTCATCAATATGAATGCTTCTGCTGGTCATTTAAAAATTGCTAACAGAATAGCTGGTGGTATGGGTATAATCTCTTGGATCACACATTTTCTACAAATTGCTACCCAATCTTTCAACTTTACAAATTGACTTGAATTATTTAAAGTTGAAATAGAGCACTTCCTGTCAACTTTCTTTTTATTCCATAAACAGACGTCATATGGATGCTGCTTACGATCTTAACTTTCATCACTTCTGCTTCTTTGTCATTAATCATGTTTTAATTGCTTGTGTGGTTGTCATAGTTCACCATGCTGCTACCCAATCTTTCAACTTTACAAATTGACTTTAATTATTTGAAGTTGCAATAGAGCATTTCCTGTCGACTTTCTTCTTATTTCATAAACAGATGTCATATGGATGCTGCTCACGATCTACACTTTCGTCACTTCTGCTTCTTTGTCATTAATCATGCTTTAATTGCTGGTGTGGTTGTCATAGCTCACCATGCTTGCTGGAATTGTCAAACCATTGTATAGTAATTGAAAAATCTATCTTCTTTTAAGGGTCGGTTTGAAATAGTTTCCTATTTTTCAGGTAAGAGCCAGGGCGGCGGATCTTAAGTTGGCAGCTGCTGAGGAAACCAATCTGCTGCAGGGTAGAGGTATTCATATACATTTTCCTGCTGGGGCTGTACCGAAGGATGGGCCTTCAGCTGGTGTGACCCTTGTAACGGCGTTGGTTTCACTGTTTAGTCAGAAAAATGTAAGAGCAGATACAGCAATGACAGGGGAAATGACGCTGAGGGGTCTTGTGTTACCCGTTGGTGGTGTCAAGGAAAAGGTGCGTTTCATGAGCTAGTCCTCTTCTTTTCCTTTGTTGCCAGAGATAATATATTCATCATAAGCAATAATAGGTATTTTCATGTGTTTGATTACATCTCATCTTTGATTCGGAGAATACTCAGTAACAAACAGATTTACTGGCAACGCTTTTGCTTCTCATCTTTTTCAACATTCTTTTGTATATGAAATATGTAGATACTAGCAGCACACCGTTACGGTATCAAGAGAGTTATTCTGCCAGAAAGAAATGTGAAGAACTTGGTTGAAGTACCTGCAACTGTACTCTCCAGTGTGGAGGTAAATTTTTTTCTTGCTTTTATTTGAAGCAAAAATATTACTCATGGCATTACATCTATATTACTGAAATCGTAAATTATATATGCTATGTTGGACTTTAATATCTATATTTATTGTTTCGCCAGATTCTGCTGGCAAAGCGAATGGAAGATGTGTTGGAGCATGCATTTGATGGGGGATCCCCTTGGAGACAACACTCTAAATTATGACAGCCCTCAAAGGCACATCTAACGTGTTTCCGGTAACTGGATTGTTTGGCTAGCCTCTTCTCTGAGTTAGAACATACAGTCCCAATATTTATTCAGCAGCTGCCTTTGGCAATTGAGGATCCAAGACATGTACATGAGCTCAGCTGTCATGGTCCATCAAAGACTGTTTAACCATTTGCAAATGGAGCTTATATAGGTTGTTTTTGCATATTTCCGGTGGAAACTGCTGGTATGTCTTTTTTTTTTTGCTCCTATTCCTTCTAACCTATTCATGTTTTTCCTTTTGCTCATTTTTTTCCTGTATAATTTAATAGCCCCGCAATGTATAATACTTTTCAATTAAGAGTTTTTTCTTACCATTCAATTATTGAGATTGTGGTGGGATCGTTCAGTGCCTTGAAAAAAATCGTGTTTGTGCAAATTGTGAAACTGATGCTTTGCCCTATAAAAAAAAGATGGAAAGACGTAAATCCATGCGGAGTAAAATAAGTTCGTGCTTTCGAACCATATACATAGGAACAAAAATGATTAAATTGAGATAATAAGATGAACATAGGATGAGATGTAAGTGATTCTAATGAAGGCAACTCACTTGTCAACATTGTCTTACCCCATTTCATATTATTCATTATCTAGTAGATCAAATGCAACCTAAAAGCACGACAATTGGAGTATGGACCTTAACGATAAGTCTGTATATGCCAGTCCCATTTATCTTACAGTGCTAGAAACGTAACCTGAAATTTAAGGACCAGACTGGCTGAACACGATCACTTGTGTTACTCACGCTTCTGGCGATTCATCCAATAAACAATTAGCCAAAATCTGCTGTCACTAGTATCAATTCAGTATCAAATGCTGCAACCATAGGATTCCATCTGATCTCTGGACATGCTCAATACAAGACATCGACTGTTTACAAGTCATTTATATTTTTGATCTAAAACCAAACACCATAAACTGATTTCCAAATATTATGCAAAGCAGAATTATGTTGGTATCATCAAACCAACTTCTAATGCATAAAAAGCATCAATAGGAAACAAAGAGCGATTACAAGGTTCTTGTTTCTGAAAATTTTATTTCAAACTCAGAAAATCAACATCGTAGGTATCTTGACAGATCTCAGTCGTTTGTTGATCTTGAAGACATTCAAAAAGTTGACGACGAACAAAATGGAAAGCATTATGAGAAAGCCTGAGGATTGGGCAGAATTGATTAAGAAAACAATTAGCCTGTAATTGCAGAGTTCATTGCACTGTGAACATCAACACCTATTTGGGCTTCAGCTTTCTCCAAATCAGTTGTAGCTGAGCCAAGCTTTTGGGTAAATTCTGCCAGACCCTTCTGGACCAAGGCAGGGTCAATGTGATCAAGCGGCACAGCTTCCACAGCAACAATATCAGCAACAGAGTTGGCATGGATAAGAGCAAAGCCACTGCTAAGGAAATATTTTGTTACATCATTTCCTTCATGCACTGACAAGACCCCAGGTTTCAGTTCAGCAATTGTAGGTACATGTCCAGGCAAAACACCCATCTGTCCAGTTGTTGCTGGAACTATTACCATGTCAACCTGATAAACACTAGATGCACTGTAATTCAGAAACTTAAGAATATAATGTCTCCGAAAATAGCATTTTTTTTCAAACACCCCCAAATAATATAGTTTACCTTCATTGCTTCTTTTTGCATCAACTAATGAGAAAAGTGGAAAAGGAAGAGAAGGAATAGTAAATGGGATAATAGTTTCTTTGATTCAGAAGATTCTTGATGATAACACCCAACCCTATGCATAAAAGGCTTAAAAATGCTTTGGTATATAAACATTCCTCAATCTATGTGCTTTTCTAAGTGCATTTAGATAAATTAACTGAATGATAAATAATATGCAAAAGACTCCAACTGATATAATCACCATGCTAAAGACATTCCATGATTCAAATAATCCATAAGCTGTAACTCCAAACAAATGTTGTCTTAGAAATAGAAGATACATTTGAACTAAACAAGCAAAATAACTACAATCCTATTACCCACAGAAGTTAAGTAGAGAAAAGCTATTGGATTCTATGTGGAATTCTTGATAGATAATTGATTCAGTATGCCCGTTCATAGAATCAAATAAAAACCTCAAATTAAACAGACAAAATAAATTTCTCACTAAATGTGTAAAAGTAACCATTTTTAGTTCCTTTTTTTATTCGTAAACTAATCACCAAATTGATTAAATTAAAAAAAAAAAGCCCAAATTACAAAGAGAAATAAAAAAAAAATCCAAGCTAAAACAGCCAATCAAATACTACACTCCAATTTTAATTTTTTTATGACCTTCTAAATAAAAGTGTTAAAATGATTAATCAAATTAAAAATAAAACATAAATCAATCAAAACAATCCACAAAATCCAAATCCAAGCCAATTCCAGGCGCCAAAACCCTAGGCATTAATCATACTAAAAAGAACCAAGCAAACCCCGATCCAAGAAAAAAAACCATTTTTTTGAAGATCAAAACAAACCTCTTTTGCGGAGAGCTCAGATGCATAAGGAAGCACGAAGTTGACAGTGATTTTCGAAGGGATAGAAGCAGGGGTTGCGGGGCGAGGGGTCATGAAGGAAGATGGAGTCTTGGGAGGATCTATGTTGGGTATCACTTTCTTCCATGATTCGATGAAGTTTGAATCTTGTGCGGGTGTGGCTGGTACGTCTGTGGAGAAAGCTCGACTCCTCCTCGATGTGGCGGCCCCGGTGGTTCGAGCCAACAGGCGTGACGTTTGGCGGAACATCGTCAGATCAGAGTCCTTTTGCTTTCCTTTGGTGGCGGTGGCTTGGGGTTTGGAAATTGCGAAATGTGGGCGTTTATTTTGACTTTTTTTTTAAAAAAATTTGTTTACTAGTGTTTACTTGTTTGTATTTTTACTTTGTTTTCTTCACTCTTCATTACTAGTAGTTTATTCTTTCCTTTTTATTTTACTGTTACTTTTCCAATTTCATTTATATTAATTTTATTTTCCAATTATCATATATTAGTAATATTTATTTTACAATTTAACATTATGGAGTTAATTAAGTATTAATTTAGGCAATATAAATATTTGGATTAGATTTTTAAAGGTTACGGAATTCAAAAGATTTAAACATATAATATTTTTCTTGATAAAATAAAAGTTGAGAGATTAAGTTAGATTACAAATTTCAAAAAAATAATAACAATTTGATATTACTTTTTTTTTTTAAATTTAAGAAACTTAGAGTTCATTTACTTTTATAAAAATAAAAGGGCTGTAAGTGACTAGTTCATCTTTAATCCTTATACATTATTCAACAAGAAGTTAATCTCTCTTTTTATTATCTTTTTATAATAGCTAATAGTAATACTTACCGTTCTTTTTAATATGTTGATCCCATTTCGAATTACGTATAAGAAAAAAATAGTAAAATTATGTGAAGATAATTTTAACAAATCAAATTAAATAAAATCTAAAACGAATCAACGGCCCATTGCTCTTTCATGCCCAAACAAATATGAGCCCAGATTGGCCCACATCTTGAAATCCAAAAAAAGAGCAAAAACAATTTGGGAAGCCTGTGTTTCTATGGAATATCAAAGCCTGGTTGTGGGCCCATAACCCTCAACGCTTCCTCTGCTACTGCCATATGTATAATTTGGCACTAGAGACTGCGTCCTCTTGCACCTCCTCGGTCCCGCACGTTTCGATCCATGCTAGTGCTAGGCAAACTTAGTGGACAAGCTTCCATAAGGATTAATAACTATATTATTGAAAGAACGGAAAGACAATCAAATTTACTATGAAAGTCATTCAAAGACTTCCAACAACTTTTTTTTTTTTTTATAATTCTAAAAAATTGTAAATACTAAGATTTGAATTCAAAATCCAAAATCGCATGCATGATGCAGCTAATTCTAATATATAAAGAACCAAAACCTTTTTGCATCTTATATTCTGAAAAATAATTATAATAAATAAAGAACCAAGATATATCTATTCACTGATTCACAAAACTCTCAAATCATTTTCTGCAACTATACCCCATAAAAGCGCAAAAATGCAAAAGCCTAAACCCGATGCTTTGTACAACTTTGAACAAAATTTACAGTGGAAAGCACTGCCGCTACCAGAGCCATAGCAGAAGGTGGGCCTCTGGTGGTTGATGGATTGGAGGGGCAGTCTCCGATAAGTCAAGAAGAAGGTTCATGGGCCCAGAAAGCATCTGGATCTGGACAGAAGAGGGAGAAATCTTGGATTTCCAGATTAGCAATGTGCCAATCAACAAAACGAGCTTGTATTGACTTGAATAGCAGAAGGATGGTTGGCAAGAGCCACCATTTGTCATCTTCCCTGTTGGCAAATGCAATTCAAAGAGCTATTAAGCATCTAGGTAGAAAAGAAAAAGTTTTGAAAACCCTATAAATGCACAGGTTCAGACAGCCATAACGAAGTCCTCCGATGTGGACAAATTTATGCACAAATAAGAAAGTCCACAAGAATGATGATTATCTAGAGTTAAATCAACTTTTATGCAGGAAAGTTTTCTTTCAATTAGTAAAAATGATTCCACTACCTTTTTGCAATAAAAATTTCTGTCAACTAGTAAAAATGATACTATCCACAGATGAAGCCTGTAAAATTTCCTCTATATCCATTTCTTAAGGAAGAAACAAGGACTCTATTACGAACATCCAAGCTCAAAAACTAACTTGACAAAATTTTCTACTCCAGCCTCGTTAATGGACCTGATAAATAGTTTCCTAATCGCTGCTGTTCCACTAACACTGCATGATATAGTAGTATAATGTGTAACACTATAGATGCAAACTACAAAAAAAATTGCATTTTTTAATCACCCTGAAATTTAGATAAGCTTCCTAGAGTTCCATCAGACTAGTAAGTATTAATATCCTCACCTTCTAGTGTTCCAAGAATTTTCCTTGTCAGGCGGCCGGAAAGAGGAGAATCCGTAATGAATAATGCCGCAAATGAAAGCCACAGCCTACAAGAAAAGAAAACTAGGCACATGACACTGGCACAGATATTTAAAGCTCAAAATCGATTAATAATGTCTTATTCAGAGGTAATATCAGACTCAGTGATTTATTAATTACACAAATTGCAAAATTCCTCCCTTATGCCATATTGCTATTGCCAATCATCTATATCCTATATATATATATAAAAGTACCAACTTCAAAAGTGCATATAATGAATACATAGATACCTTTGAATTTTGACAATTTATTAAATTAACTATTTTATCCTTAATGATTTTTTTATTAAAGTAAAATATAAACAGAAATTTATTAATTTCTTATAACATTGAATTTCTTAATTATTAAAGTAAACTTTCCTTAATTCATAGTTTTATTATTAAATTAAATATTGACCTACTTTCGCAATTTATTTCCTTATTAACCTTGAATTCTATGTAAAGATTTTTTTAATGTGGCTATCCATTAAAGGTAATATAATGGTCAACATGGTATTGAGCTACATTATTAAATAGGCACATTATGTCTCTTATAGTGTCCTTATAAGTAACAAAAGAGAATAATTATCTTGATAATAGAAGTGTACCTTTATAAAGAGTAGAAGTATTAAGGAAAGGATTCTACATAAAGGTAAAAATGGTAGATTATAACTAATGCTTAATTGTACTTTATTATGTTATCATTAATGTGGCCAATTATCTTCAATTATAACTATTAAGGATAAATGTTGCATTTTTCAATTGTACAAATATAAAGAAGCCAGTTAAATATAGTTTAGAATTCATATAATTCAGATATTACATAGTTTAGAATTCATATAATTCAAATATTATAACATCCATTATTGACTATGGTGAGTTTCAATTAATTTGACATCCAACTAAGAAAACATGATGCGTTAAAAATATATGTAATGTTTTTCTTAATTGATAGATATAATGATTAATGTGATAGTTATCTATATAATACGCTTTATTCATATTAGTACTTATTACAATATTATTTTTATTACTAAAAAATAAAATTTTAATATAAAAATTCATTGATATTTGTATGTTAATCATCCACATGTGAGCCATGTGTAGTTTTAAGAAAAAGCCAATTGGAGGAGAAAAATCTATCTTTATCTTAAATTATTTCTCTAAATTGTGTAGTGCCTCATAGACAACATAACATCCTTAAGAAATTTTAGGTGACTAAACTATAAGCATGAAGGAATAAATTGGCATAACAGTACACTTTAGTTTATTGCATCACTAAACTATATTTCACAGAATGAGAAAAGTAATAGAAAACCCAAAAGAGTTATATCTGACTCGTGCTAATGTCAAGAGTGGAATAACTATCTCTGGTAATAAGTACTCAGAATTTGGCGTTACTTACAATATTTGACAGAGATGTAGCATTCCACAGGGAATATATACGAGCAAGTGAAGCTCTCCGAGGCTCTTTACTGAACAAGGCATTCAAGCCAGCTGGGATTGGAGAAAGCAGAGATAAAGGAAGAATAAGCAGGACAGCAAGGAATACCCCAAGAGATATCCAATAGAACTGAAGCAAAGTAAGAAGGGTAACAGAGAGATCTGCCAAAAGCATAGTAGTAATCAGGAGCTGAAGGGAGTCCTGAAACACAAAATTTAAGCGTTACAAGCTGAATAATTCAAAATATCAGACATAGGAGTGAGGTTATACAAGTAAGATCTCTGAATCACCTGACGACCAATGGGTCTAGTATTGTGCAATAAGAGAGAAAATGGGAAGAGAAAGTCTCTTTTAAATTCCAAGGATCTCAATGTAGCATCATTTATAAGACCTCCATTAATTCCCCCTGTGATCTTCTTACGAGATAATGCATGACTTGGGCATGGCCAACATTTTTGGAGCTGTTTAAGGCTTTTGCCTGCAGATGCAGCATCTTTCCTGAATCAATAATACACAAACAGCCAATGAGCATATAATAATTTACAGAGCTCAAAAAGAAACCATTCAAATATTGGAAACCTGCTCATGCTCATTCACTAGAGTGCTAAAAAGGGAAAATAAGTTTCTTCATATATTCAATCAGTAAAGTAAGTTCCAATCAACAGCAGTTATTGGAAATGAAGGGCCAGGCAAATAAATTAAAACCATTTTGCCAAATGCTCTGCCACAAAGGATGTTAATATTGTAATTTATAACTAATATTTAATAGCATCCACATGCTTCAGCTGTTTCCATAGAAGATTTAATTCATATTTCTTCCACTGGCTTTCTACATTTTACCATCCAGTTAAGGATCAGTGATTATGTTACTATGTTTTATTTTGACAGTTAGAGCAATCTAACAGACAGTTACTTGAGGTTACCTTGGGTATCCATCATTGCTTCTATCTAACAAATCAGGTTGCTGCAAATTTTGAAAAGTATAGTCACCAACCACTACCAAGATGCCCAGCTGATAGTAACCAGAAGCTGTTGCTTGAAACCAGCCTAACTCAATTTTAACCCCATGGAATTCAAGCTGGGGATTTCCATGACTAGCTATCCAATCTATAACAGGAACCAATGCAGAACGGATGGATCCATGTCTTACAGTCCTCAACTGAGCATTCAAACCAGCCACCAAACGATTCCAAACAGTTGGTGGTATGTGCTGAGGATAGCATATTTCTTTAAGTCAGATGAATATTAAATCAAGTTATGATAAAGCTACTGAAAATTTATAAGACAGCAAGACACCTGGCCAAGAAGATTAGTCAACAATGCATCACTATGAAGATTGTATGGTGACATATAGCTTCCATCCCCACCAAATATTATGCACATGGGGAATCTCTTTTGTATGATCGTTACCATGTCCACACGCTTCTCATCGCCACCAAGGAAAAAATCAATGTATGCAACCATCAAATCAGGTGTAGCTCCAACCTGCAAAAATTAGGTACATGTATAAAGACATGATAGAAAAGACAAAATGAATACAAACCTTGAAAAAAAAAAAAAATCTATGTAACTGTGTATATAAGCCAATGAATGTGCGGATAGGTTTGACTTCCGTTTGCTGAATTTGCATAAAGGATAATGTCACTTGGTAAACATATCATGGTAGTTAAATCCTGATGATATAGAAACTAGCATCTTCTTCAAAGTCATAAGCACCATTAAGACAGTAATCAAACATGGCATCAGAATAATTTCAGAAATAAATCTCAAGCTAACATTAAGGAAATGGTTTTGAGCAGATAAAGTTTGGCACCCAGGGAATAAAATGGCTCCAAAAGAATGAAATTAGAAGTATAACCTTCATCCCCTTGTATAGAGCACGTGATCTGCAAGAGCGGAGACATGAATGGTCATATTCTGATTTGACATATTCCTGAAGCCGATGTACCTTTTTCCTCCGCCGCCACTGTTTCCAAGACCAGGCACAAGGATATGCAAGCACTGACAATATACTGTGCACTGACCCTTCCCACCAATCATATGCAGCAACTGAATTGATCTCATCAATGAATCTGTTAAAAGCATCTTCATACCTACAGCTCAATGAAGTTTGTTTATTATGATAAATGAATACTATTTTAAGACCAAAAAAAAAATCGAAAAGCAGGATTCTAACATAAAAAGGGGTTAAATAAACAAAATTCTATTAAGCAAGATAATTATCTACAGTACAAGATATTCATTGCATCTCTATAATTGGCAGGCTTCAATATGACATGTGTCTTGCATCAAGAGCTAGTAAACAGGTGATGCACAAGATTACTGCTATTCTCTCATGGATTCTTTCTTGTAAAGGGTTCTTTGCGTCTACTTCCATGTACATTAGGCAATTCCTTCTACCCCTCCCACTACCCCCACCCACCCTCCAAAAATATAAATATAAATATATAAATAGACAACTATTCTCAAGTAGCCAGCAGGGTATTAAAATTTTGGTTTACTATGCTAGGGACAAAATATTTAGAGCATAGCAATAATCCTTTTTTTGGGGATGGGGGAGGGGGATAAATTTTGAGTTCAGCAATGATCATAATACTACATTAGCATAAAAAAGAGCCATCATTTTGATCTAAGTTATTTTCTTACACGATCTCAATGATTGTATCAGGAGGAGAGTAAGGAAGGTGCCATGGTTCTCTAAAAGTATTGGGACCCATGAAGTACATTCTGTAAACATGACTCTGAGTTTCTTCAGCTCTGGTTCCCCGTACCTAGAGTGAAAAAATATATGTAGTCCACAAAGGAATGTCATAAAATGATGAAACTGCATCCAGTCATAACTGCATACCAATAAGCAAGAAGATAAAATATGGCTTTCAACAATATACCTCTGACAGGGAAAGAAGGTATGGGAAATGATGACTGCTCTGATGTTCAATATTAGCAGCATAAGAGCTTGATTCGACCAATTTGATTCTTAAAGTGCTTAACAATACAGCTAGAAGCACCAAAATGCCAGACAGAAGAAGTGCAAAAGGCCAAGGACCTCCAAATGTATACATCAACTCCTCAAGAGGTGTATAGCAATTTGGCATTCTATATTTGTCAGATATGCATTTATAGGGGCAAAAAGGCCGACAGACTCCTCCTGGAGAAAATACACACCCTATGGTGAGAACGAAAAGTGTATAGAAGACCATATATATGAGAAAGAATCGAGGGAAAAAGAACATGGTATGGAAGACTGTGGATAAGAATAAAATGTAAATCACACTTTTGACAAGTACCTCGTACATATATGAAATTTGCACGATTTGGAAGAAGCTCCAAAGGGCAAGGAGTGCAAAGATCTTCATCAGAGCCATCAATATCTTTATAAGTGCCAACGGGGCATTCCTGTGAATGAATTCCATTATAATTTTAAAGAAATCCAAATTAGTTGAAATCTCACAAGTTTTGATTGTCAATAGCTGAGATGATGGATAGAACTGATAACCAAAATTCTAAATCTAAAACAGAAAGACAATAGTTTCGCATCTATGTTGATGTAAAGTTAACAGGTAAGAAGAGTCGAACGGTTCATACCAACATGATGCACAAATTAAGATATCTGTGCATGCATAACCATAGCCAATTAGCAAAGCAAACCAAGTCCTAATTTCTCATTATAATCTAGAAGTAGACTTGAGTAGCATCAGACAAATCAGACTATAGTCTGGGAAGTAATTTTGGACTTGAAGCAAACTCTAGTAACTAAGATTAGGTGCTTCTCCTCATAGAACAAAGAAAAACGATGGCATTAGGACTAAAAAAAACCATTTAGCAGTATCAATATCCCTCCATAGCAACCTACGAAGAAATACTATCATGAGATGTTTTCAGAGGAAATTTTGAGTTGGGATGGAGGGTGGTACAAGTAGCAGTGAGATTTTAATGAACTTCTAGGGGGATTAGGCATTTAGTGCAAATTGCAAGAATTATCCGTATGTATTCTTGCAACATAACCCCATCAATGTGATGCATAACGGCATAAGGCTTTGCTACAACACATGACGTCTTCAACAAAATTTTAAAGGTAATTGTAACTATTTCAAAAGTAAGTGAAACCTTACCCTGCAGAATGTACCATAGAGGCCTTTTGGACATTTTTTCCCAGTTACTGTGCCCTCGTCTCCAAGGAGTCCACCATTATCCCCAGCACCTCCACTGTCATCCATCATGATTGAAGTAATAAGCAGCTACTTAACAAATTTTCTTTCGGAAAAGCTTCTATGTCAAAATTGTAATAGTTTCTTAAGGCAACAATCTATTTAACACTACACATTATTGGTGAGTGTATCGGTGGAGACATTAAGTAATAAATCTTTCCAAGCCTTAGCGGAAAGTATTTTTCATATTACCTGTTAGTTTACTCCAAATAATCTGATAATAAAAAATTAATAGTAAGTGCAAATAGCCTTACAGGAAAAAAACTTCATCCAATATTTGATGTATTAGCAGTTGGTTAACTCCTTAATCTGATACTAAATACTGAATATCATAGTGCAAATAGCCAAAATCAGGAATACCCTAAAATGTTTGTGACATTATCTGTTTATAAAAGAATTACATGATCAACCAAGTAGTTAGTTACAGGTCACTTCACTTAGCACTATTGGGAAATTATGACATTTGTTCCATTAAAGAGTCATACCTACTATTGATGAAACCACTGATAGTAGCAACTGGAACATATTCATCCTCAATGCCTATCTTGGACCAGTGAAAATGCACTCTTCCACCCCCACCCCCACCACCACCAAGAGGACCACCATTTCCCCCAACAGTTGATAAAGATGAATTTTCAGCAAGCATAAGCTCTTGAAGGAATAGAAGAACTGTCCCACCAGAACCTCCACCAAGTCCACCGAATAATGATCCATTACCATTTATTGTTGCTTTACCAAAGCTTTGACCATCAGCCCTCAAAGACCCATAAATGCTGAGCATTAGGAGAGGCCATTGGGTTGAGCCCATTACTAGTGAAGAGGCAACCATAAGTCAGTTAAAATAATCAATGCATAATGTCAGAGAATATAAAAAATGGTGAAAGCACTAAGAATATTGTGGACATATTTACTAACACACTAATTCTTGAAAGATTAGTAGCTCCCATTACATGTTAAATACTTAAAATAACAACCTAATAAGATAGAACATTCTGGCAGCTCATAAACTGAAAAACTCACCAATCATTCCTCCTCCAACTACACGTCCAAATGACTGAGTGGGACCCTCTGTTCCACTTCCCAACTCACAAGGAAGATCAGCATTTCCATATTCATGACCACCATTGCTAACTCTTCCATTGAAATATCCAGCACCTCCTCGTCCGCCATGCCCAGCACCACTACCAGCTCCATTAAGATAATTTCCTTTTCCTATACCTTTGCTGCAACCTAAAAAAAGGGTCTCCTTAAAATTAGAAATGTTAACAAAAGCGTGATTCCTACTTCACAGAAATTAACAGATTATTTTGAACGCCTTGTAGACAACATTGGATCAAATATCAACATTGCTGGTTATACTCTTTGTTACCTAATTCAGATGCAGTGATCAGGCCATTAGCATCAACGGTGACTGTCCTTGCCCCATGAATGTGAATTATACTTCCCTTAACGATCCCATTAACAAGAAGGTCCTCAACCCTACAAATCTGCGAATAGGTCAAATATAACCAGTTAGAAATTGAACTATGCCACACTCACAATAGCATCCTAACACTGTGAGTGAGCCATGAAGAAAATCACTTAAAGCAATAAGGTGCATGTTCTTCCTTCCCCAAGTCCACGGTATCAAAACAATTCCTCTTAAGAAAGAAAAATTTTCTTTTTTTGATAAACTGGAATGAATTTACAAGATGGCACCTCTTATTTGCTATACATTCTCATTGTATCAAAATCAGTTCAAACCTTGTAACCAAAAGAACAGATGGATTATATTGGATCTATCATGCTTCACCCAAATGTTATAGAAAGCATGACCAACTGTGATATGCATGCCAATCTCAAATTCTAACTCTGAAGATTGTCACTTTCCCAAATACTTTCAATACATTATTTCCTTTGTACTTACAATGTTTGACCAGATAAAAGTTAGCATTTCAAATACGGTTATTCTGTTAAGTAAGACTTTTTAATAATCTAATAGAATGATATCAATTGATCATGAAAGCAACCTCTATGGTATATATTAGCACAATTCTTATAAATAATGAAAAAAAAGTGAACGAATTGGAGTCACCAAATAATTCGAATTAAAATATGATTTCTACCTGGAGAGAAAAGGATAGTGTATAATTAACATGGCAATCATCTGGAGGAGTTATCAAATCTATTGGGCATGTTTGGCTCTCACAAAGGGAATTTGTAACCCTACAAAAACAAATGAGGATTTAAAGATGAAAGAAACTTCACTCTGATGCTCAACGTTATGAAAATCTATTAAAAAGAATTCAAATTCATACTCACACACTTCTGCTAGCATCATCATCCATCGGAGCTTGAAGTAAAGAGCCTGGCCCAACCTGTGACATGCAAGGACTTGTAAATAACACAGGGTATAAAATGAAGGAAAAAGTTAAATTTAGCTCAACAGAAATAAAAGGATGTCAGAAATATCAGAACAATAATAGAAAACTCAGAGAGAAAAAGGAAAAAGAAAGGGGAAAAAGAAAGAGACAGTTCCATAAAACCAAGTAAAACTAAGTTTATTAATCAGATTCTGATGGACTCGAGGCACAGTACCAGCAAAAACTTTATTGTCTGCAAGTGCCAATAATATTGGTCAATACATTTTTGTAGGGATATTGATCAAGACATAGATTCTCACAAAACATTACCTCAATTCCACTATACAAGTTAAAGTAAGTGCAGCACATGTCGAGCGGGGAGAAAAAGATGCTTTATAGGTCACTCCAATAGTATTTAGTCCCTCATATGCTTTTCAAGTTATAAAACAGAAAGACTGAGATGTTACATAAGGTTCTCATATTTATCAAGACAGGCTTCCCCCGAAGAATCTCAGTTATAATATAGAGAAGCTTAGACATTTTACATACCTTTTATATCACCCATACATAGCATAATACCACAACATCATAGTATTTCTCTAGAGCCACCTGTGCAGAACTTGCACAGATATACATGCATACACAAATATATACACACACAGATAAGCATCTTTAAGATACACTCATACAAAAATTGCAGTGCCGTTAAACTATAACATACCCTTAATAAGTATAAAGGGCAGAAAAACAGTCATTCATGTCAGTAATAACTTACTGTTATGTTATAAAACAAAGACAAGGAAAGCCGTTGGCCTTTAATTGCATCACCCTGACCAGTTAACATCAGCAGTCCTTGACCATATACACCCAAGTTTGCGTTTGAACTAATGACAGAGTTCTCCTACAAAGACATCAAAAATATCTAAAACTTATAATCAACCAGGATAAAATTGAGCATTAAGAACAAGAAATAAAAATGAAATTCATGATGAAGTTCAAGCGTCGTACCCTTAGAACAACCAGATTCCTTACTTCAAGGATAGATACAGTGACAACAGTATTTCCACCCCCGTCTATTTGAATTTTGGAGTTCCACATGAGTAGCATTTTGACAGAAACCCTAAATGCGCCAAATACCTTCATTTTTGAAAGGGAATTATTTAGACTAACAATGATAAAAATGACCCATGCCTTCATAGAGGTTAAACAAGACTGATGCTTCACAAGAAATTCAAAAATTAAAAAGAACATAAATCTTTAAAACTTCAATAAGAGTATCATATGAAAACTTACTAGTAATTGTCCCAAACACAGTTTTGGAAGGGAATGGCTTCAAAGAAATATTAACAAAGCAAAATCTATTATTAATCCTCTATGCTTCTTTAATCTTCTGGTAAGAACCAAAATCTTGGTTGGGAACTCATGCTAACTCAAGCAATAAATGCTCATCTTTCAAATGTACTCAACCTTGCTTAAGAGAACTCATACCCTAACTATCTAACATCAGATACAGCCACTAAATTTTGCAGTTCAGCTCAATCTAAACTAAATAATATTAAATATAAAACATTTTAATGTTTCCCTTAGAAAACATAAAAAATCAATAAATGTAACATACCTTTATGATGGAATCACTCATTAAAAGTTCTTCTGCAACAAGTTCAAATTCTGACACCGGGTATGCAGACAACCCAAAGACAATTGTTCCCCCACGATATAGACTAATTTGGCCTCTCACCTTTACAGTTAAAAGGAATAGAAAGAAATCAGCATGCAATTGGAATATGACCACTCACCCCTATTCCAGAGATCAAATGCTCCGAAGGGCAATGTATTTAGATAAAAGCAATTGTGCTGGGAAGCTATGAAATATAAAAGAACAGAATAAAGTGATAAATCTATGAAAAAGAGTAGAGTATTTGGAAGAAGAAAGAAATTACGCAACCTGAACCCTGGTCCAAAGAAGAGGAACCAAAACTTTTGCATTATTCTCCACAAAAACATTTGACCATAATGGTCTAGTAGGGAAATCAAGCAGAGGAGTTTCAGTTTCTGTGGTGACATTGTCATTGCCAACTCTTAGACTCAGTAAATCAGCATTGAAATATGTACCAGCTGCTCCAGAATTTCCAGGACAACCAAAACTGAAACCACCTGCCAAAAATTGAAGCATATAACGCTGGTGATCTAACCACAGTAATTTGTTATTTTAAAGTAATGTATGAAATTTCTAGCCTTTATGGGTATGATCAGTACAAACCATGCACAGAAACCTTGACATCTTCTTGTATGCTGTAGCAATCTAAAGATACTCGTCCACCACCACCACCACCCCATCCCATCCCACCAGCTGCACTTATAATACCATATCCCTTCCTACGTAATCAGATCACGAAGCAAACATATAGTCAAGAATTATAATCTAATTTACCGTTTTTAAATTTGTAAGATGTTCAAAATTAATGCCCCAAAGTGGTCAACAGGCTATGACGCCATTGTTTTGTCACTCATAAGCAAGCTTTTTGAGTACCAAAAAAGATTGTATTATCTTGAAAAGTCATGGTAAAAGAAAAATCATGAATCAGAATGTATCTCACTCCCTTCAAACCAGGAAGAAATAAGTCAAAACAGAAGTAAATTACATTACGTGATTCGCTTTGAAGCTTTTAGGATAAGATCTTTCCAATTGCTCCATCAACTAATCAAGCAATAGATTTCATTCAACAAATTATAAACTCCCATCCATTTGAATTGATGACACAAAAGCCTACAACTGATGCTACCACAGAAAATAGTGAGAAACTGGCCAAAAGGAAATTGGCAAAGAGAAACTCAAACAAATTTTTTGGGCTCAAATCTTAACTATTATCAATGAAAAATGTTACAAAATGCATTCATAATTTAGTCTGCTGAGGTATTTTCATCAAGTTCATCATTATAAAGATAATTCCGATATAACTTGCCACCATAGCAGATGCATGCAGCCCCTTTCAGTATATCCATTCATATTCAAATAAACTACAGCAACAGAGACATTGTACTACCAACCATGAGAAATACAGTAATTCATTAGCAGATTAAAATTGCAACTGTATACTTGATGTTACATCAAAATTAATATATTACATATAGAACCTTTATATATGATGTCTGTGCATTAGCAGGAAGGGTAAGCATTGGTGAGTGCATTGATAATGTAAGAAATGATGGGTACCGTTAATAGATTTTTGTACAAGTGCTCAATCAGTAGGCATTAATATCAAATGCTAATGCCTAACAGACAATGCAAAATGCAGAAAACTAGAAATGAAATTAGTTAGTTCAGGTAGCATGTACTCACAGCTTCACAGCTCTAATGTAGATACTTCCACCAGAACCCCCTCCCCCTTTTAGGCCTCCATCCCCACCTTCTGCAGTTACAGAGCCATTCAGATATAGCATGTCCTTTACTATGAGCTTAACTCGTCCTCCACCCTTCCCTCCGAACCAAGGTCCATGGGAAGTACCATTACCCTTACTACCACCTTTACTCCCATAACTCCATGGCTCAGACAAAGTTGACCAAGCATAAACATCACCACCCCAAAAGCTCGTCTTATTATTTTTCAGACATGAAGCACCCCGGCCACCATGTCCTCCACCAGCTCCTTCGATGCCAACAGGTGTACCACTAGTTTGAGGAGGAGGTAGACCAGCTAAGGAAGTTGTATTAATAGCTGAATTGTGACCAATGTTCAAATTGGCACCATAAATTACCACTGAACCAGCAACAATGGCAACATATTGACCCACATTTACATTGCCAGACATATTAAAGGTAACCATACAGCCTTCTGTAGCGCACTTGATTGAAACATGGGGAAGTATCTCCAAGTTTCCCGTACCATAAATGTAAAGATCAGAACTCAAATTCAAGTTTGAGTTTAGCAAGCAGGTAGTATTGAATGATCCAACACCTCCCAAGTCCTCGCAAGATAGAAAACCATTCAGTGGTAATGAATTTGATTTCTTACCGTGGATAGGGGTGCCACTTACAGATTCATCACTCAAAACTAATCCAGGTTTCTCTAAAATATTTTCGGACTTCTGCTTCAAACTAAGACAAAGACCAGATGTGTAAAGATACCCAAACAGAATGCACAAGCAGAGGTAACCCTGCATTAGCAATGGATGCATTACCATCCACTGCAGCTGACCATTAGATAAAGTTGCAAGCATGTAATACTGCACAAAATTTTAGCTTCCCACTCTACCATAGACTTTTATCATCTTACACTTATTTATAGAAGATCATGTACTTGAAACCATCTTCAGGGGTCCTTCATTCCAAATGTTCAGAAATATGCTCCTTTCTTAAAACTGAAACTCGTATAACAACAATCATCAATGCTATCCTGCCAGAGAGACCATACATTTAAATTCATAAAAGGGCATAATAATGAAATATTAAATAGAGAACACACAGCATAACATACATAACTAGACAGGACTACTTAAATGGAACAAGATTAACTTAAAAAGATCTCTGATACATTAGAACACAAAGAGAGCAAAATACCCCTTGAAGTCCAGCTAAGCAGACGCTTCTTACGGTCAACAGAACCTTATTTATAAGAATAAAAAATGATTGTACTGAATATGGAATGCAGTGTATATGTAATTGTCTACTGTCCTTATCTTTGTCTCTTCTTGATAAATATAAAGCTCAGTTCTTCCTAGTTCAACCAACCCATTAGATTAAACAGTATCAATCAATCTTAGTTTACATTCTCTTTGAACTGCTTCCAAGAATCTTATCAGCACCAATATAATCCACCAATTAAAATTACTTACTAATTATGTCAAATTCACGACACAGTAATTAAAACAACTTTCACTTTCACGATTAATGTCTTTCCATTAAAATCGACCACCAAAAAAATCCACAAATACACGCAAGTTAATTAACAATGCAATCATATCATGCAATGCAGATCGCAAGCTCACTTTTAATATCAAATAAAATATTTCCAAAAAATATATATATTAATCCTTTTTCTTGTTTATTTTTCAAAGTCAAAATCCGACACGATCTGTCATTTCGGTTACAAATTTCACATTTCAGGCATCGAGAACTGAAAGAAACAAACTAAAATTATAGAAAACAGGTCCCATCACAATTGAATTTCGAATTCTAAAAAAAAAAAAAGAAACAAAGAGTGAGTGCGAGAGCGATAGAGTACCGTTTGGCAAGAGAGAAAAGAGAAGGAAAGCGAAAGAAATTACCTAGTCAAATCTTGAGTGAAGCTTCCCTTTTAGTCACAATTTCGCTCTCCAACAAAACTTTACTGTATTTTCACCCTCTCTGAGTCAGAAATTGTCTCTGCTTTGTCTCTTCGCTTTTCTTTTCTTTTTAATTTATCTTTCCCCTGCTTTTTCCCCCTTTTTGTTAAAGATTAAAAATTAAATCAGTACCTGTTTGGGGAGAGAGAGCGGAAGGCTGAAGAGTGAAGCGGAGAAGGAGAAGAGGAAAGTCTCATACGAGTCCAAGCTACGTTTTCGTATAGCTGGACTCCGATAACGATAGAGATTTACGCGTGTGCTATTTTGTATAATCAGGACTCTTGCTCCCATATTGCCTTCTGTTTTGCATTTAATTTCGGGATTGCCCCTGCGAATATAAAGACGAAAATGTGAACACACATTTCTCTTTTATTAACTTTTTTTATTATTATTCATAGTCAAGAAAAACCGTTTTTTTTCACTGCTATCATATCAATGTTATTTTTAAAACAAATTGTCAGCCTGATATGTGTTAAAGAATATATGTTATCAATAGTTTTTTTTATTTTCACTACATGATGCATAGTGTGATCCTTCTTATAATTATTATAGGTAATTATGATTCAAATTAAATTTGATTTGATTAATTTTTTGGATAATATATAATATTATAAATTTTTAAATTTTGATCAAAATCTAAATTATTTTTTTAAAATTGATTCAATTCAAATCAAATTTTATTAATTTTATTCGATTTATTGATTTTTAAAATTTTAATTTTTATATATTATTTTAATAAATTTTTAATAAATTTATATAGATTTTTATATATAATAATTATTTTTACTTTACAAAATTTAAAATATTTATAAAAATTAATAAAAATATATAATTCAATTCCATTATTTTTTTAAATTTTTTACATTTCAATTCAAAATCTCATTCAAATTTAATATTTACATTTAATATCTAAATTAAATAAAAAATTAATTCAAAGTGAATTGAATATTATAATTTTAAATCAATTTTCAATTTTTTTCTTTTTTTTTTCAATCTTAATAATTATGTATATAATCAAATGAAATAGAAAACATTAATCAATACTATGAGAAAATGTTTGTTATAGAATTTTCTTAATATTCCACATACATAATTTATACCCTATATTTAAAATATTTTTTATAAAATAAATTGTCTAATACTTCTTTTAAGTGAAAACTTTTATTACTAACATTTTTTTAATATAACAATTCAAACATCAAATATAGTGTCATTTTAAATCCGTTTTAACAATCACTAAATATTTTATCATAATATTTATGTAATACATCGATAAAATATTAAAATTTTAATTCTAATAATTAAATAAAAATAAATTTTTTGAATAAATTTTAGGATATAAAAACGGAAAGAGCTAATGCTGAACAATAGCTATAAGGAAACAAATAACAACAATCTAACACGTGGCAATACGAATAACAGACAGTGATCAAAATTTTTTATATTATCTTTAAGTGAAATAAATGAAAAACAGAACCAACGGACGGACGGCAGTTAGATACGAGCTTTTGCAGTACACACGTAATAAATACTTGTAGAAAGAAAGAGGTTAAGAAATGAAGGGTAAAGATGAAATTTAATGGAAAACGAGGGAGTTTTACTCTGAAGCCATGGACTACAGTTCCAACCGTTTATTCCTCTTCTTTTTCTTTTTGTGCAGGTGGGTCCCATATTCCAGGATCCGAGCTGCTGAATGTCGTTTTTACTTTTTTAGACAGTTTCGTACTGGCCGGATTTTTTTAGTTTTTTTTTTTTTGTTTTATAAAGCGACGAAAATGGCTTCACGGTTCACACATGGCCAGCGTTGTTAGACATGGCCCACTGATGCATATTGCTAGGCCTAGGCATGATTGGCGTCCCTCTCAACCGTTGTTTGCTTCAGATCATTTACACATATGATAAACAATAGGATAATTGGAGAATAATCTAATTTTTATTTTAAATGATAAAAAATTTATTATCGTGTGATGAAGTAATTTTTAATATTTTTTGAATTAATTTATGATAAGGGTAGTGGAAATAAATATATTGTTACTTCTAAATTTAGTCTTTACAAATAGAATGTGAAAATATCAATCATTCCTTTTAATCTCTAATATGATTTATGCCTTTAGTATATATGATTAAAATTAATAAAATATTATGAATTCTTTTATAATATTAAAATTAAAATATGGAATCATTCTTTGGTATATATCTTAATTCGTAGAAAAAAAACTTATTAAATTATATTTATTCATGAAAATTCAATGAAATTATGTACCAAAAAATCAATGAATTTGTTTTTTAATAAAAAATAAATTTTTTAAAGAACTGAGTGTTCAAGTTTTAGTTCATTAGCTTAATTCATTTTACAATTTATGTGCATTATTTTTGGAACTACTACTAAAGAAACCAATAAATTTTTTTAATAATATTTTTAAAATATTCTTTTATCAAAATTAGTTTATATTTTGTACTTTTTTATAAAAATGACATATTAGTATCTTATAAAATTGTTCATTTAATGAATATTAAATTTTTTTTGTAAGGTTACTTTGGATATTGTTATACTCAATTTTTTTTCATACAATATCAAATATAGTGATTTAAAATCATTAATATTATATCAAATATAGTAATTTAAAATTACTCATTATCAAATCACTTTTAATGATCTTATCATCATGGTTATTAAATCATCGTGATAATTTTGAAAATAATATTAAATATTATTTAAGTGATGTTTGATAAGGATAATTTCTTTAAAATTAAAGATAGATTTATTTATTAAATCACCATAATTGATAATAATTTGAAAAATTTTGGTGACAGTGATTTACATCATCAAAATTAATTAAACTATTAGGTTGCGGGTGATTTAAATTTCATCTAAAATGATGAAAAAAGTTTTATCATTGAGAGAAAATGATTTTTAATATAATTTTAAGATAAATTCATTGTACTCAATAAAATATACTTTTCTCCAAATTTTTAGTATTATTTGATGATAATTTGAAATATATGACACTTATTTACATAATTAAATTAATTAAATTATTACATTATCGGTGATTTAAATCTCATCCAAATTTATGAAAACGTTTTATAGGCTCATCTAAAATGATGAAAATGATACACAAAAAATTTGTCATAAAGATAACCTCAAAGTGATCATCAATAAAATAATTTTTTTATGAACTTTTAGTTTTACAAGCAAATTTTCATTTTATAATAAATTTTATAAAATAACAACTTGCTTAATTCTTAAATGTGAATATATTAATACTTTTGAATTATACTTATCGAAATTGGTTTATATCTTAATTTTTTTTATAAGACAATTAATTTTTATTTTATAAATTATTCGTTTATTGAAATTGATTTTTTTTCTTTTAAATAATTTTATTGTTAAATAATTTTCAAGTATCTCATTTTTTCCTTACACGTTAATTAAGTTGTTTTTCTCTGTTTTAAATAATTTTATTAGTAAATAATTTTCAACTCTTATTTTTCAATGTTTTCAGAATATAATATCGTATACGTGAGTCAAAAGACAATTAAAAGAAGTGTTATAATCGAATTTTTCGTAAATTATATTGTTGAAGATTATGAGCCGATAAAATTAAAGTTAGAGTTTCCTGATGAAAATTTGAAGGAGCTGACATTGCTTGGGACATGGAATTGGGAATTATTTTCACAAAGTAAATAATTCAACATCTTCTTTGAAGGCTTCCACCTGCTATTATTTTTAGTCTTAGCCCATAAAAAACAATTAACTTTCAACTTACATATCTTTTCAATTAATAGCATGTGCTCATTTACACAAAATAACCAACACAGAATATTAAAAAAAAAAAAAAAAAACTACTAATGCAGAAAATGCTGAAAACATAATAGCATGTTGTTTAGACATGCTAATTATAATCCAGTTCATTACTACAAGGACTGTAGAGGACAAATAAAACCAGCTATTTAACTAAAAGGACCAACATTGTTCTGTGTCTTATAAAACTTCACGATTCCTGCCTTTGGCTCCCGCAACAAGGACAGCAAGACCCACCAAAATAAGCCACTTTTATCACAGAAAAAAATGGGGAAAATAAAGATAAGAAAATGGAAGATGTGTAAAGGGGGTGCAATAGATGAAGCCATGAGTTTCATTTACCTAAACATCTTTGCATATATTACAAGCCATCAATCCTCAAAATCAGACAGCTGCATGGAAATAAGAGGTGAATAAAAAATGCAGATGTGATTCTCAACAATTTAGCAGGGTAAATGAAACAAAATTTCATAAAGAATAATTGCTAGATCATCAACATTTAGTATAGAAGAGAAATATCTAATGGGGATCTTCCAGCCTAAGCCAATGAAATCTCTAACCTCATAACCTCATACTCATAACTGACAAGGGCGTTGCATATAAATTTAGAGAGACGAGACTTAATAGGCTTGAAATTCTTTAACAGCTTTAGAGAATTTGATAACTTAACCTTATTCCAAGCCCCCAAAGAGACCAAGTAATCAACAAAACAGAACCGGTGGGGAGCACCAATAAACTATGACAAGATAGTCAAACTTGTTTTAAAAATTAAGTTAGTTGAGTGAAAATCACCGAGAGCCCCAACATATCATCTGACAACTCCTGTTTATTCTTCGGTTTACACTCCATTGTAGATAACTAGAACTCAGAAGCCATAGTAAGGAAATTTTCAAGAATTGTAATGCTGCCAATATCTAGGAATAACATGTTAAGAATAAAAACTACTAACAAATTAGGACTAAAGTGCACGTACCTCTTGAATCTCAATGCTAACGTTTTCACCAAAAGTAGAGCCACTAACAAAGTAGTTCATCACGTTATCAGGTATAATGAATGATTTAATACAGCATTCGATATTCAAAGTCTTTAACCTGCCAAAGGGAGAAGCTTGGGCTTCTAGTACAACAGGCAACTCCATGAGAACCTATGTAGTTAGTAAAATTAAATAAATAAATTAGACGAGAGTGAGAGACATGACAAGCATTTTTTATAGGAATAAAAGCGTGTCAATTCCACCTATAAAAGTATACAGAGGTCAATCCAAGAAAAAATAAATGTACCTCAATGGTGTTGGAAGAAACATGGAGAGATTCGGCATGATAAAGCCCTCGAAACAAATTGATTAAATTCAAATGGGATTTTTCAAATAGCTCCTCGGAATCCGGTAAATAAGCATCAATTTCAGCAATTTCCAAGAGAGGAAAGTCAAGGTTGGAGAATTCCACAGGCATTGTATCTATAAAAAGGAATGAATGGAGTTTTGGGGCAAATATCTCAACCTTACAGCCATTCCATAAACAGTGCTGGCGTATGGCCAAGCTATGGAGTTGGGGTCCTGATATTTTAAAACTTGTGACGCCAGCCATGTTACAATCCTTTAGTTGTAAACTCTTCAAATTGACAAGGCTAAGAAAAGGATCGATGGAACGGGTCGATCCATGAGAACAAAAGGAGCATGAACAGATGTGCAAAGTGGTCAAGGTGGGAAGACTGAAATCCCTTAGTAGAATTAATTCCCTAAAATATTCTAACTCCAGGGTTTTCAACGATCGACAGCGGCTGAAAAGAGGGAATAGGATTCTAATGGACGTGAACTTTAAGCCGATGCTAAAATGCTGCACATTATGGGACACGGAATAGTTGATTATTCTAGTGACGAGTGACTTATCTGCCCCAAGGTAATGGAAAAAGAATTTGGAGACAGGTAAATTGTTGCGGCCAGACAAGACACGACGCACAAACTTCTTAAAAAATGAAGTGTCGCAGCCCCATCCGTTAAAGATGAGGTCAGGAAGAGAAGCCCACAAGCATTTCCATCTCTTGGATAGGACACTGGTTCGAACTGACCACTTGGTTTCTGGTAGAAACGAAAGGATGTGAAGGAGGACGCAATCCGGCAGATCGCTCAGTCTATCCTTCGCCTCTTCTTCGTCTTCATGATTCTTGGCCTTCTTCTCGTCTCTTCCTGCCATCATAAACCAGAGTAGGAAACACAGAAGACGAAACAGAGGGGAACACAAACCCTACTCTCGCGTCTAAGTAAGAAACTTATAGTAATCACTTACAAGAAAATTGGGTTTTGGGCTCAACTCTGATATACTATCGGGTTGGGTTCCTTTTTTGGGTTTTCAAGGTCTACATTTGCTTCTGCTTTGTTAGAACTTCTAACAATGACCTAAACCTCAATGAGTAGTAGTTAAATTTGAGCATCCGAGACGAATCGGGAACAAAGGCAATATTCAGAGGAATCCCCAACCTTCCTCAGCAACTTGTCTTCCACAGTTCCACTCTTCCTTGCCCAGCAAAAAAAACCAACCTTGTACCAGAACAAAAAAACTACTTACGATACATGTAAGGAACGGACCGCCAAAACAGACGGTGAGGTGAGGCAAGCTAGCCTCTATAAGGCATGGGCAAAAGAGAAATACAAATAGCAGCCACACACAACCACAACCATATAGTCCATGAACCCGACGATATCTATGACTCCATCACGAGTCAATGGCTCATGGTTGTGGGACTTAGCACTCGTTTTCAAGGCAAGTTTGTCCTCGAGCTCGGAGCTGGCGCAGGCCTCCCTGGCTTGACAGCGGCTTTGATTGGCGCCAGCCGAGTATTGCTCATCGACGTACAGAAGCTCCTTGCTGGACTCTCGAGGAACGTTGAAGTTAACGGGTTCAAAGAAAGAATCGAAGTGAGCGAACGAGTCAATGAGTGGAATCACTGAGCCAAGCACGTTTGATGTTGTTTTGATGAGTGATGTGTTGTTTGATCCGGAAGATATGGTTGGCAGGCCGCTGGGTAGGACACTCAAAAGGATCTGCTAACAGGGAACTAAAGTTTGGGCGGCTAGCGAGTTGAGGCCATGGACCGGTTAATGCATGAACGAGTTGATGGCTCGAGGCTCCCAAGTTGTTGAGTTTCTGACTAGTCAACTTTGTGTTCAAGAGGGTGTGGACGACTAACGCGTCATTGCCATCTTTCGAATAATGCAACTACTTACAGAGAATTCGCAATCTCACCGTAACAGAGTTTTAATGAAAGTTTTGAGTCGTTCCAGCTTTAGAATGACAGAAACAGTCGGTTCAAACAAAAATTTAGAATAACAGATACTGCAGGCTCAAACAAATCGCATGAAACCATTATGACATTTTTATATACCAGGGAAAACAATTCTATGTCAAACAAACCCAATTTCTCACATCAAAGCCATCAACAGTTTATATACCAGTTATGTCTACATGCACCAGGAACACTTCTAACATATCGCCGTCGTCTACTAACAATAGTGAAGAGTATAATTACATGTCAGGAAGAGCTGAAAGGGTCAGGCGATTTTCCTCAGCATGCTGTACAAAAATTTTCACCTGTAACTGCTTCTCTGTATCCATAATGGGTTTATCCCGTTAAGTCAAACAAAGCCGTCTTTTATCAATCAAGCCCTTTCGACAAAACCTTGTCATGTAATGCTCTCTCGAATCAAAGAACTTTCTTCAAAACAAAGCAAAACTTCCAAGCAGGTATTTGAGGTTATCCTTTTCTTTCTGCCACTGTTCGCACGTAGCCTCATAGCCGTCATACCCTTGCTCCAATTATATTTATTCCCATTATCAGGAATCATCTTAAGGGTTATGGACAGAATTAAACTGACCTCAAACCGGCAAACATTTTGCCCTTTAGAGCAGGATATATTTGGGCACACAAGGACAGCACAAACCAAGTTGCTGATTGCAAAGGCTATAACCCATCAAAGCGAAATGCATCCTTATTCTTAACCATTATAGTGAAGTTTCTGGTTTTGGGTGCCCTGGCCTTGCTGAGGCTGCTGCTGTTGAGGAGCCTGCAAGTTTAGTCGCTGTGTGTTGTAGTGAGCAAAGGGCTGGGAGTAGGGAGAATTCGTCATGCCCTGCAAATAGATAGCCATATACTCCCTTTTAATTCAGGAAAGACGTTAATAAGGTCACAAATGTATGGCCCAAAAAAAACAAGTCAGAAAATAGGTAATGTAACGATCTTGCATTATGACAGTTTTCTAACCAGATAGACAAGGACTTAAGACTACTACAATAGAGGTTCAATTTTACAAGCATTAACAGGCAACTTTCTAGTTAGAAAATATATTTTAAATCTTGCCAATTTGACAATTTTATCAACAATAATTCTCTATCAATAAGTAATGGTATAAGAAGCAACCTGAGACTGAATCTGATTGGGATTAGCCACACCAAAGTGGCTCTGTGATGCATCATCATGTGAAGGGTCATTAAAGCCAACCTGTGTAAACAGGCCTTGTGATCCATGATTCATGTAGTCCTGTAAAAAAAGAATTGTCAGAAGAATAACTGGGAGAAAATATAAACTCATCACACCAAAGCACTTTGGGCAAACCTGAGACATGAAATCATTTCCAGAACCAAAACGAGAAAATCCAGCTTGAGAATTCTGATTTAGGAAGTTCCCTGGAAACCCACTCTGTGCTCCTTGAGTAACATAATCAACAGCATACCCACTCTGAGAAGCCTGCAAGCAAATGCATAATCAAGCAACCCACAGTATCAAACCAAAAGTCAAAACATAAAAAAAAACTTTCTTGTTCTATTTACAGAAAAATACAAAAAGAAGAGAAACTTATGGAAAACAGATTATTCTAAACATATTCAACACCCCCTCTAATGCTTTAAGGCCCTCAGTACACATCTAGCTACATTGCCATGATACTCGGTGGTTTTTAACCTTTTCTTGCCCCTTCTACTTATTTTAGACCATAACATTGAGGTTTGAAAAGTTGGCAATGACCCACTGATGCAATCTCTCCAATAAAATTCCAAGCAAATACCACGCAAACCCCGCTATCTGATGTATGTCATATGGGATTGAGAAGAATAGAAGATATTATTAATACAATAAAAATACAAGAAGTCAAGAGCCTATACCTGCGTTGAAAAATCTGCAATGTTATAAGGGACATGTGAGCCTTGGCTTTTGAAGTCATCACCCAAGAAGTCCTGTGGGATGGTCAAACAAACCAATTACAAGTTGTTATCAAGAACATAAATCGCAATTATTGAAGGAAAATAGAAGATTTAATACCTGGGACATTCCCCCCATTGAAAATCCATCACGAAATGTTTGGCCTGGCCCTTGGACAGGCATCTATTATAGATGATAAACATACTCAAAATTCCACGCGGTCAAAGAAAGGATTAAAGTTACAAAAACTAAAACAACAATAAAAGGAAAAGATAAAGTACGAACATTGTTAACAAGTCCAGGTTGAGATAATGGACCACCCACAGATGGCTGGCTGTTTGGATTCTCCAGGGGAGGGAAGTTAAAAGTAGATCCAATAGTTCCAACATTTTGCTGCGTGCCTTGCTGGTGCGGGAGATGACTGCCAATAGGAGCACCAGTATTACCACGCCCAGCCCCAAAGCCTCGACTTCCTGGTTGAGGGACCTGAGGAACGGCTCCCACTGGTCCATGTACAACTCCACGAGTCGGAATAGCATAAGGCTGAGAAGGAGGACCAGGAAATGGTGGAAGTGAAAGCCGAGGCATTGGGTACCCAGTAGGGTGCATTCCAGACTTGTGAGTGCCATTGGGTGGACCTGGAGGCATATAAGCACCTGCAATTGGCAACATGAGAAGGCTCACATTATATTAATCCCTGTCAACTTTAATACAAGTGCCAATGACATATTCTACTCTTATGTAAATGTCAGTATAAGCCACATCACTTGCAAGTCCCCAAAGTGATTATATGAAAGACATCTAACTCGCAGACTCAAGATGCTCAAGAGCCTACCCTGAGCACGACTGCTTCTTCTATCAGCATTTGGACTAGATGAGGCAGCAGACCCAAAATTATCGTTAGGCACAATCCCAGGTCCACCACCAAAGAAAAGTCTCCTATCATTGTAGATCTATAAGAAACACAAACAAACATTATATGAATTCACATTATCCTTGACAACCTCTAATGACTAAAAAGTAATTGGGACAGGCAATGAGCAAAAGCAAAAGCTTGAAATTTAAACAGATAACAGGCACCATCCTTTCATTCCATACACAAACCTTTTTTGGCTTTTGGAATTGAACCATACTTTGCTTCAAGTTATTGAGGGGTCCTTCAACCAGGCACTCGTGTTCCTGCAAATTTTAGCAGAAACCAATCAGTGACAATGATAGCAAGATTCTTTGAGGCACAATGAACAGTAAGATACCTTTAACATTTGCATACACTACCAATAGCAAGGTGTTACAAAGATACGTAGCAAGATACCTTGTAATGTGTCAATAAACCATTCCACAGAGGTTGTTTGCTAAGAACTTTTGGGTTTCCAAGAATTACAATACCATATCGAGCTCGTGTTAGGGCAACATTAAGCCTGCGAGGATCATTTAAAAATCCAATACCCTAAAAAATTGGATAAAAAAGTTAAGCACATTACGTTAGTTTTTCTCATATAAAAGCATAAAGAGACAGGCAAAGAGGGTTAAATATTAGGATTAGACTTAGAATGAACACCGTAACTAGAGGCTAATATGTCAAACACGAGAAATATTAGAGCACATCTAACCCTTTTAACAAACTTATGGATGGTCAAGAAATTGAAAATTAGTTTGACATAAGACTAAAAGACTGAAAAATTCAGTCAGGTTGAAAATTCACTCATGAAGCTGCTGCAAATGTTATTTCACATCTTACATAGATATGTTAACTAACCTGATGTTCATTACTTCTCACACAAGACAAGATGATGTAATCTTTTTCCCGTCCTTGGAACGAATCAACGCTTGCAACCTGATATAAACCCCACAAATTAAATAATAAATAATTACATTAAGGCCAAATATTACATTAAGGCTAAATATCATAACAGCATTTATTCTTAGAATCCAAATCCACACAGTACCTCAATTTCCTTGTAAAGCTGCTGTCTCAAAGCACCATTTCTTGACATATAATTCACAATATATGCCCTTTGTCCCTCATAAGGTGTTATGACCCCAATCTGTAATATATTGAAACAGTTGTTAAACCAAAAGTTATAATAGTGCCTGATATCAGTCCGAATAGAAGAAAAAAAGGGAAGTCCAGAAAAATCACCTGACTAGGAACAACACCACTCCTCAAGAATGTGGTAACAATCTTTTCAACATTTGCAGCTTCAGTTCTATTAAGATATGATGTTCCACTAGCACTAATCTCCTCTTGTCCCATCTAAAACAAAACTATGTAATCATGAAACATAACCATGGAATATATAAAGAACTGGACTGTAGGCAAATTAAATTGTATATGATGTCCTTCCCCATCTCGTCCCTCCCCCACCAGCACATAGAGAGCAATGGATAGAAGAATATGAATGGGGGACAAAAGATAATTTATATTTGGGTTATTACAATCCTAACCACCATTTCAATACCTGTACATAAAACAACATGGGACGATTAGGCACAGGCCAAGGGAAATCAATGCCCAATAATTGCCTTTCATTGATTGTCACTCCATTTTGTAATGTGCCTTCATAGAAGCTGTTAGAAGGAAACTCCGACAAACATGGGTGCATACGATATTGAACCTAAATTAGAACAGAAACATTTACTATCAGATAAAAGACATGTTTTCTACCAGCAATTTCATTCACATGAAGGTCAAAATCAACAAACATATAGGGACGTTACCTGCAATCTAATTGGTTTAACACCAAGTAAAACAAGACGTTCAAACAGAGACTGTGCTAGCCCAGCACGAGCTGCTTTCTTGCACATAATAACAGGACCAAGTTGGCAATGATCACCAACAAGAACAACCTAAAATAAAAAAATATAGACATTGGAATACCAAACAAGAGATATTCAATGGGAGTGAGAGAAATCATATCTTGATAAGTTTGTTCCTTCATTACCTGCTTTGCTCCAAGAACTAAAGGAATGAGACACTCAGGTTCTGTCGCCTGAGTAGACTCATCAATAAGTACCTAAAGAAAGAGAAAATAAGATTGTAAGTGCTTTCATTTGTTTATTGATCATTGAATATTACATATCAGATGTATTCAACCTGGCGGAACCTAAAATTAGCCAATCTAGGATCTCCAGCCCCGACACAAGTGCAACAAATGACATCAGCACTTTGGGATATTTCCCTCTCTGTTGCTCGCTTCAGTGCTTTGTACTTTTTCTCATCACTGCTTGACAACTCACCTGAAAGAAGTAGGATTAAACAAAATCCAGTGGAAGTAAAAATTTTCAATTTCTGAAAAGAAGATTAATAAATGCACATTCATTGTCACTCTGTAAGTTAATAGAACAGTTCCTTTTCATCCCAGTTTAATCAGGGTCATGTCACGGTAAACTCTAACCGGGAAGAGTTTCATTAAAAAAAAAAAAATCCATCCAATTAATTTTTTCATTGACAACTGGAAAATTATCACAACCTTGTTCATCTTTCAATAGTTGTAACTTGTGAAGTTCACTCTTCTCAGATGTGTCAAGATGTCGGACCTGCATGTCGTAATTGCAAATATGAATAGTGCCATGAACAACAAATGCAGAACAGTAACACATAGAAGAATTAGACAGTAGACACCACAAACCTGATAATGCAGGGTCAAATGTTCAACAGGAGAACTCACAGCTTCCCTTGATTTCGCACAAAGCCTTACAACCTTCAGACAAAAGACACATTGGTGAACAAGTATCGATTTACAGATATATACAAGTTAAAGCTTCAAGATATTTAATTATCTTTGCCCAGAAAATAAATAAGTAATGCATCATAAGATACACCTTCAAAGAAATAAGAATATAAGTGCAATGTTTCTAACAGTTTCTAGCTTCCAAAGCACCTTAGCAGTTGCTGAAATGTTTTAACTTCATACATACTATCACGTTATGTTACTAATCCATCAACCCCCCTCCTAGAAAATGGAAAATAGAAAATAACACCAGCCATCCAATTGTGAGAAATCACATTAATTTGGTGATATTGAAACTAGTTTAAAGAAAAGCATAACTTAAATTGTCAACTGAAAAGGCTAGAAATGCTACAACTAGGAATGTAATGCAAATGAGGGACGTCATTTAATTGGGGAAAAAGGAAGAAAAAGCTCATCACAGTTCTGTATTAATTAATTATAGCAAAGAAAAAGAATGATGCAGAAAAAAGCTTCCTATAATTTGGCTTCTTTACCAGCAATACTTTTTGTCTGGATATTTATATTGTATCGTATCGTAACAACCCACACCTATATAGCTAACACTAAAAATAGAACAAGCATGCAAAAGGAAGATGACAAAGAAAACCCTAAATTTACCACAATCATAAGACCCAACAATGCCAATGACAATCAGCATAACCACAAGCAGAGTTCAACTTCTCTACCTTTAACCCAGTGGCACTTATCTTTTCAGCTAGCTGATCAACAGCCACATTACTTGGAGCACAGACCAGAACCTGATAAGAGAATGAAATATCAGAAACACAGACAATAAAAAATATGAACTATAAGAATTTCTTACCTGCCCCTGACCCTGTTTAGCCATGTGATATACAATGGCAGCAGAAGTAACAGTTTTTCCTGTGCCAGGGGGCCCTTGAATCAAGCTTATAGGCTTCTGAAGAACACTCTTTACGGCAAAAACCTGTCCAACAAAGTAAGATCAACACAACTTGATGCACAAAAAAAACCATTATATAGAAAAAATCATATAAAGCCGACCAAATGACAAAACTGCCATACTTGAGATGCATTCAATTCTGGCAGACCAGGTGCACCAAAACGACGAGGCAGTGCATTGCGAACCATCTGAACCTCAACCTCATGGCCAAGCAGGTGATGGTAAATATATCTGCAAGAAATAAACCAATTAATTTACTTAGAAGGGACTAACAATTCAAGTTCAGCAAATATATGACCTTTGGGACAAATAACATAAAGTTTCCAACGCTAAACAGATAGCTGAAATTAAAGTGGCCAACTTAGCCTTGAATAAAGAGAGAATAAAATCAATGAAGCCATCCCAGAATCTTACTGAACAGAATAAATTTTTTAGGCTAAAAACTTAATGTGATAAAAGAAATGTGTTTCAACCCATGCCTGACCTACATCTAACCCATCCTAAAATATGCACAAGAATCTATACCCAGAAAATTATACCATACATAGACCCTCAAAAGCATTGTGTATATTGCATGTCAATCAGTTAAATAAAACCATCCTTTTTTTTTTTCAAAAAAAAAAAATCTTTTACTTCCTTTATTGATTTATTAAAAAAGCTATCATGGTATGTGAAGGAAATGAAAATACTAACCTGAAATTTGGAAAAAAAAAAGAAAAAAATTATGGTGCCATAACAATCTAGAACAACAGGCAAATGCGAAGAAAACAAGTCAGCAAACCTACCCACTAACACTTGTTTCATCGACTGCAAATGTTTTCATTGCCCCCTGCATCCGGTCAAAACTTGTACTCTTCCAGACAAAATCAACACTGAACCCATGGTTCACGTCAACAGGAGCTCCCTGCACAACGATAAGCACCAAATTTTAGGACCTCCCAAAATCCAAAATCAACTAACAAAACAATGAAATATCAAAACTACCTGACTAACACGGAGCTCAAGCGCAACCTCCTCTTGTGCCGTTAGCTTGATCTGAAATAACAGAAAGATAATTTCTAAGTACAGTTCTCAGAGGTGCACCAAATGCATAAACTTTATCGAGGAATACCACAAAATCCGGTTTTCCAGAAACAATACATAGAATCAATGTCACATGTACAGGCAAACATTTAAACCATAATTAAATGGGTAAGCTCATAAAGGACACATACCACATGCCCAACAGCCTGCCAAGCTGGATGAGCAGCATCTCCTGAATAACGTAAACGCAACTCATCACCAGGCACTAGACGCAGCTCATTGTCTTCCTACAGCACCACAAAATCAGGTTTAACATTTATCTTTACAAAATAAAAAGATACCTTGTCATACAGAGGGGAAGGAGGGGGCGATAAACCAAGAACACAATTAGGTGATGGAATAAATTAAGAGAAAATAATTAATAAAGCACCTTTGGAAAGACAAAATATGCAATACGTTTCTTGTTTAACCCAATATCCCATCGCATTGTGACATTGTCCTTGCTTTGAGATTCTTTCATCATCTGCCGGAAAACAAAATTTTGATTTAGACATGAAAATTACATTTTAAAAAATACAAGAATATCGCAAAAACAATTAAACAGAGGGCAGTTGGGTGGAGAAAAGGAGTATGAACATGATTATACATACTTTATCATAGTCAGCTTCAAGCTTGATAAGTGGAGCAAAAACATTTTGATACTGCAAAGGAAAGCATCAACTTAATTAGTAAACCACATTACAGTATGAAACTTCTTGTCTTTTCACAATAATAAAGCACAAAAAAATGGTGCAATAATTGCAAATGTGGGCACCTGATAAGCATCTTCATACTTCAAGGCCACAGGCTGAGGTTCATCATCTACACCAGGCTTCTCAAGATCTTCAAGGGAGGCATCAGGATTTGTCTTCCAAAGCTCTTCTACCTTGTTTATTTGTTGGGCACTTATTTGCCGTGCCCTTAACTGCTCTTGTTCAGATGGGATCTGTAGAAGTGATATATATTAGGAAGTCCTCAGATAAATAGGTCATTTTCATGTGATTGAAGAAACACCAACCTTAACCAGCCACTGTAAAAAGCACCTATCATCAATAAGGGGACACCACTGACTCAAGTCCCAATTCATGTCCTTCAAAGCATTAACATTCAAACAAGGTTCTCTACAAAGAAGAACGACAACGCTCTCAGTCTTAGCAGATATAAAACCAAGAAGGAAAACATTTCTGCATCCACAGTTGTAGCATTCAAGAATTGTTTCTCCCAAAGGACTATCCTTATGAAGGCAGACTTCCTTGTGTTTAGCTCGTACCTAGAAAGGAACAAAAAGCAAACTCAGTAATCAACAGCATCCAGTGACCATCCCCAACTGGATAATCTACTACACTTGTTAATACCCAATTCATTAATCTCAGTTAATAGCATATATATTTACTAAAAGCAAATCAGGTGCAATACAGGTTTGAGCATACAAACAGATGTGCAACAAGCTATGGCAAGTGCAAAAGGAAACTTTTTCAAACAGAATAACACCATGGATACGTGAAAGTACTTTCTTAGGCAACCTTGAGTAATAAGGCACATTTTGAAAACTTACTCAGTTAAGCAACCAGCAAACAATTGTTTTGTTCACATAAAAATTTAAAACTTTTAGATTGCAGTTTCTGTAGTCAGGTCTTCTGGGTTCATGAATGCAAGTTATATTGGATGAGAAAAGAGAACAAAAAGCATGGCATAGTGCAAGACCAGTAGATCAACAAAAGCTCCAAGCAATAGGATGATGTGATGAAAGCATAAGAAAAGCACAGGTATGCTTCAGTGGCAACAATCAACACTGATCCTCAACATGTGTGAATGAATCAAACAAAATTGATTCCTAAAGTGAAGCAACATGGTAATCATGTAGCAAGTCCAACAAGAAATAAGTGCCATGCCATCTAGAATGAAAGCCTGACTTCCGATTGCCTTCTAGTATCCCTTTCTTTCAACAACAATCAACTCAGATCCGACAGAATCATGTACTAGCCATAATCGAACATAAAGTAAAGATCTCTCTGATGATATTTGTCACACTTTTTCTGATTGCCTTATAAGCAAACCCTTTATTAAGGAAAAAAAAGTTTCTCTAGGTATTAGCATCAGGAGCGTGATACTAACTGTAATAGCTTCCCAACAACCTCAAAGAAATGAAGAAAATAACTGTCTTCAATTAAATCAAAAGAAACTCTATAATAGGAAGGGAAGGCACTGAATTATGCCATAATTTCATGTACCTATTCACCCCTAACTGAAACATATCTTCTGTTCAAGAAGCTTGCAATTCACTATTGAGTCAAATTTTCTAGCAGAATTACCCAATTAAAACCTTCAAAACTGCATTTATGAACTTGGTAGGAAAATCTAACCGTTTAATAAGTATCATAAACAATTATATTAATCATCTCCTTTCTCCATCTTTATATACATATATTAAGTTCAACAAAATCTCAAAGTCAACACCCTACTTAACGCACTCTCTCCCTAACACATGCCTTCCATAATTCCACCTAAATCCAAAACATACTATGAACATCAATGTAATGTTCATTAAAACTTAATCAGCATATTTTAAAAAACCAAAATTATGAATAGAAGGAGAAAACTCACGAGATGATTAACAATATGCGAGCCCGATGTATTCCCTCTTGAATTACAAAACCACTTTCTACAGGAAGGAACGTTACAGCGAACCACGCAAGCCGGGTTCGAAACCCCACAATACCGACAAGCGTGCTCAGCGAAATTCCCTTTTCCGTACTCATAACCGCCATCCTCATCGCCAACTGTCTCCTCAAAATTCAATCCACTAATCCCCGTCGCTAACGCATCAACCACGGCTACACTATTGCTAATATTATTGCTATTGCTGTTGTTATTGCTCGTTGCCCCACGCCCAGCGACTTTCGGAGCACTAGAGGAAGAAGGGGAGGCAGCAGAGTCCAAGTGGTGGTCGGAGCTGGAGCGATCAGCGGCGTTAGCATCGGAGGCTGTCGGCCAAGAACGAATCGGGTGGCGGAAGTCGGTGTACTCGAAATCGGACTCGCCTTGGGTGTTGAATTCGAGGAAGGTGTAAGCGTCAGTGGCGGGATCGGGCTGCGAGGCCGTCTCGAATTGAGAATCCATACAAGGAAAATTTCAGTGCCGAATCGTTATTTTGAAGATTAGGGCCAGGGTTTTGGTGTTGTTTTCTGAGTTAGGGTTAGGGTTTGGTGAAAAAAATAGAAAAAATGAGCTCAGAGAGAGAGAGAGAGAAACAGGTGGAATTTGTGTTGATGTTGGGATTTGCCCGAGAGAGTGTGTATAAGCGCCGTAGAGGCGAAGATCGAGCGCGTGGAAAAAAACGCTGATGTAACGGAGAACATTCTCCACGCCTTGGTAACGCGCGTTTCTATTGGGTAGGGGGACGAAGTAGCGCGTTTAACTGCTTTTGTTTAACTTTTGTTGGCGTTTAACTGCTCTTGCTTGCAAACTAAGCTAAATTTCTGGATGTAATGTTGATGATTTATATTTGATTTTTGGTAGAAGTGATAAAATATAGTAAGTTTGTTTTAAATTCTAATATTTATATTTTAATTATAATTATCTCTGCCCTCAAATTTTTAAAGTGTTAGTTTTTATCTTCTATTTTCCTTATAAATTAAGTTCATCTAATAAGTAATTAGTTTAATTAATTAAAATTCTTTTTTTTCATGATAAAATTTTACTTTTGAATTTTATTGATAATCATTTATTGGAGTCATTTGAATGCACAACTTATAATTATTTATCTTAAATTATCAAATACAATATATTTTATCATAACTTAAAAAATTGAACAGTTTATCTATGTCAAATTTTTTTTATAAAAAAAAAATTAAGCCCATCCAATATAAAAAAATCATAAAAAAATCCATTTTTATCACCTGAATTTTATTATTATTAATTAATTACTAAATTAAACTTGAAAATACCTTATCATAACAACAAATTATCGTAATTTCTTTTATTTAATTAAACATCGCATGAAAATTGAAAACACCTTATCATAATACAAAATCAATCACAAAGTATCACAATTTTTTTACATTAAATTACCACTTGTTGAAAAAAAAAAAAGAGTAATATAGCTTTAATTTTTTATCAATAATAACATGATCTAATAAATATTAAACTTTTAATTTATGCTGATAAATTTAATTATAATATAATACAAAATCAACCACAAATTACCATAATTTTTTACATTAAATTACCACTTAACTGAAAAAAAAGAAAGAATAATATTACCTTAAATTTTTATCAATAATTACATGATTTATAAAATATGAAATTCTTAATTTATTCTGATAGTGTTAATTATAAAAATAAAAAATAAAACCTCAATTATAACAAAAATAAACTTTTAGGTTATGTAATTCGGTCATTATGGAAGCAACCGACATGGCTAACAATTCACTTCCCAAGTACTGATTAATGTCCCAAATTTTGCTGGAATATACGTTTATTATAAGTACTTTCCATAGCATTTTGTTTCATCAATGGGTTATATATATGATTAGTATTTTGATGGGTACAACCATGGGATAAAGACACGTAGTAATAAAGGAGACACTTGTGCCATTGCTAGGGTAGTGATGTGTCTTTGCTGTGGGTGGTTACAGCTTTCCATGACTAAACAAGTCTGTTTTTCTGTTAGAGTTATCTGATAATTAAAGATAATTACGATTCGGATAAGATTTTTTTAGATAATATATAATATTATATAATTTTTAAAATATACTCTTAATTTGAATTTAATTTTTTGAAATTAATTTAAATTTAAATTTATTAAATTGATTTAATTAATCAATTTTCAAATTTTATTATTTTATTATTTTTATATATTATTTTAATATCAATTTTAATATATTTAAATAGATTCATATAAAATAATTATTTTATTTTAAAAAAATTTTAAAATATATAAAAATTAATAAAAATATATAATTTAATTCGATTTAAAATTTCATATTTCAAAATTTTGATTTATATATTTAATATGATTTTAATTCAAATTAAATAAAAAATCTAATTTGAATTGAATTAAATATTATAATTTTAAATTAATTTTTGATTTTTCGATTTTTTTTCTTTCACTATCATTAATAAATTGAGTTTTTTTTTTTTTTTAATTTATGTTTTGATATTGGGTGAACATTGGGGGATGGACCTGCAAAACCACGAAGGTTGAAGAAGATTCAAAGATTGGACGGGCTCTGAAAGCGTGAACGACAAAGGTGACGACTCACGAGTCTAATGACCCTGGGTCCTTCTTCCTTTCTCATGAGTCAGAGGGTAGCCATCCGCTTGGACCTATTGGATGCTGGCCCTTCGTCTCTGCCCATGGAACAAACATTAAAGGCTTGAAATAAATCTAGTCATATGAACCAGTCTCATAGACATCCGAGTGAAATAAAATTTAAATAACAATAAAAAAATATTTTTAATTATTTTAAAATGTAAAAGAAATAAATAAATGAAATAAATATTCGTACAAATTTTTTTTTTTGCATATACAGAATTTTATAATGAAGAAGAAATTAAAAAATTGAATTTTAAAATTGGATTCTCTCTCTATTTCAAAAAAAAAGTAAATTATGATTTTAATTTTATTAATATTCATTTTTTAGTTTATAATTTATTTTTTATTTATTCACTAATTAAATTAATATCATTTAACTCGTGATACCAATTCAACTAATGTTATATAAAATTTTAGGTTTTATATAAATTTTTAATATCAATAATCATTTGAAATCTCAATTAGATTGAAATTCCAAAAATAGTGAATGGGGAGGTATGGCATGTGCATGCCGTTTCCACTTAGTCAAAATAATGGGATGAAAATTGCATATGCCATGTTTTGCAAAGGTCAAGGTCCTAGCACCGTGCAAGCAAATGCAACCTATAGTTGTCATAGTGTGCTAAACTGAAACAAATTTTCAGTTATTTTTCTTCACCAAAATTATTATAATTCCAGCTGATATCATTCAATGCACCAACCCTAATGTTAATTTATGGCTAAAATACTAAAAAAATTCATGAACTTTATCATATTATTTAAATAAGCTCTTATACTTTTATATTTAAATAAGTCTTCATTTTTTATTTGTATCAAAGTAAGCACTTATTTTAAACAAAATATTAATTTATGTTAAAAGTTTATTTACATACAAATTAAAAGTTAAAAATTTATTTGAATATAAATTAAAGGTTAAAAATTTATTTGGATGCAAAGTAAAGGTTAAAGATATATTTTAATGTAATAAAAATATAAAGATTTATCTAAATAAATTGATAAAATTAAAAGATTTTTTATTATTTTAATCTTAATTTATATAGTCGAAGAATGACATAAGAAGAAGTACTATACATTCATTCAATAAAAACAAATTTGGAGTTTAATCTAAATGATTCACCTACTTATAAGATTGAAGTTCAATTCCAACTTTCATAATTCTTCTTCTCTTATATCCATGGATTTCGACCTCCTTTTTATTAAAAAAAATCATATGTAGAATAGTTTTACGAAGTCACGACTCATATGTAGGGCTAAAGAAACCCTAATTCCCTCTCTCTACGTATTGAAGGAGCACACAAAAAAACTTTGCAGGCAAAATGATTCACAACGTCAACGCCAAGATATGTAACAATTTTTATATATGAACAATCTTTAACTTTTTTTTTTTTTTTTGCTTTTTGGGTGTATCTGAAAAGAAAATCATCTATTGAAAAAGGGGTAGTATATGGATTTAGAAAAAAAAAGATAGAATTTTAAAAACATGAAGATAATGATGAAATGATATGAAAAACCCTAGAACTTGATAAAATCGATCCCACATATGCATGCCAAAGGGGATACTAAAGGCAACTTCATGTCTTTTATGTGTTCTTTTTTCCCCCTCAAATTAAGTGAAGAATAATGGAAAGGATGTAACCCCTGCTAAGCTAACTAATTGGACGGAAATAGGAGAGTTTTCACATGAAGGAGGATTTAGAATTAATCCCCATTTTATCAAAATAAAGCCTTAATCCCTCTGTGCCACTCACATGTTGGGTTTGTTGGCCTTATGTTCTTCTAAAAGAATTTGGTTTGTATCTCCTTCGTTTTTCTTGTTCTTTGCACTTCGACTTGTATATGTATATGGTATTGTATTCATTTTTTTTTCAACAATAACAAGGTTTTGTTGGAGAAGTTTTGATTATTAAAACTAGTTAACATGGTTAACTTTAGGGGCCATTATTAGAATTTCAATCATAAGTAACTGAAAAAGAATACTAAATTCATTATTATTTATGAAAATTTGAATTCACTTATATTAATATAAAATTAATTTATTTTTTTATCCTTTTATAATTTTTTATATATTTTTAATTTGTTTAATCCAACCATTCTATTTTATACTCTATTCGTATGGATCACGCATCAAATTTCGAGTCCACTAAAATTTTTTACATATTTGTTTGATATAACAAATATATATATATGAAAAAGACAGTGTTCTCAATTGACATGATAAAAATTTTACATGCATGATAGATATAATTATGTTGTTAAATCATAAGATCAATTTGTTAAAATATTAATTGTTCATGAAGTTATTAAAAAATATAAAATTAAATAATTTTACTATCCTTTTTCATTATTTATTTATAGAATTTAGATTTATTTGTTTTATTTTGTTAATGCATTTGATATAGATGAACAGACTATGGATAAACTATAAATAGGGATTAAATTAGATAATTAAGATGCTAATATTTATAACATGGAACATAAAAAAAAGTGTTACGAACTTATAATGAGTGAACACTACTAGAAAATTGATATCATCATATATTCGTTTCCTAAAGTTAATCTACTAATAGTTAGTGATTATAACTGTGTACTGCTATTATATATGTTAAAAAGAGCTGTACTGATTAATCACCTGCAAGAAAGTAGATAGTATAACTTGTAAAGAATATTTCTCTTAATTATTCAATTAATGATTAAGTTTGATTATTAAGATATATAAAACTGACCCCAAACTAAATTTAAGAGATTATAGTTTGTATAGAACCTTAATCTTTTGTCTAAAAGAAAAAAAAAAAAAAGATGCTTAACAAATAGTTAGTTTAAACTATATACATATATTTTTTATATTTGAAATTATCAAGGTTTAATTTCATATCATTAAAATTAAAAGTATAGTATTTTATTAATAGATCACGGGATGGTTGGTTATTTTAAACTATCGATGAAAGTAAATTGATTTTTCAAATGATATATGGATTTAGACATGCATACATGTTAAAGCGAAAAAATCCAGCCTGGTTTTTTGTTGGTTAATCAAAAATGCAAAGACCAATCTTTTTTATCAATATGTGTATATATATTCACTTTCTGAAAATGGTCAGCCAAATACAGATGGATTGCTTGCCAAAATAAGCTAAAGATGAAAACGCCCGTCATTCTTCCAAAATTTTACAGAAATCACAACAGAAACGGGCAGTGTAAATGACAGATAGTCCTCGTAAATAAGTTTCCATTGATATCTCATTTCCTCACAAAAGTTTCATTTCAACCTTTCCTTTTCATCAAATTCCATCGGGAAACCAATTACTAGCTACAATAATGAACCAAAAGATGAAGAATTCCTTCCCATTGGACTACACTTTTCTTGCTTTCTTCTTTCTCTTGTTTGTTTCAGTAAGCTCCGATGTCATTCAGGAATCTTGCGGCAAAGCTGCAAAGGGTGACCCCAATATAAACTTCGACTTTTGTGTTGCAAGCCTTGAAGCGAATCCCAAAACCAAAACTGCCACCAGCACTCAAGATTTGGTTCCCATCTCAATTGAGATAGCCATATCTAATGCAAAAAGCATCAGCTCCATTGTTTCCAAGCTTTTGAAGAACAAAAATATTGAAAAGTACACAAGGAGCTGCTTGGAAGCTTGCTCTGAACTTTACTCAGATGTAGGGTCTGATTTACAAAGTGGTGGCCAGGCTTTTAAGGCTAAAGATTATGAAACAGCTAACGTGAAAATAAGCGCTGCCCTGGATGTCCCGGTTACATGTGAAGATGGGTTCAAGGAGAAGCAAGGGTTGGTGTTTCCATTGAAAAAGGAGAACAACAATTTCTTCCAGCTGACAGCAACCCTTCTTGCCTTCATAACCATGGTCCAATAAGGATGATAATACCAACGTTTCTTCGTGGCTTTGTATTTGATGTCACCACACAGTCAGTCGCCCCAATAATTAAGCACAATTTGTCTATCTCTGTGTGAATAATTCATGCTTTTAATGCGATATATATTCCATCTGGATGTAGCAAATTAATTTGCTAACTTGTATATTTTCTATGGGTACGTACTGAACTTTCCTTGTTTTTCTTCTGTTTCCTGAGTTTCTTAAAGGTGAGGAAATTAATTCAGCCAAAAAAAAAAAGTGAGGAAATCTCCTAAAAATATAAATTAGAAAACTATGCAACATTAAAACTGAGCATCAGCTCAGAATTCAGATAGTACACATGTTGGATCAAAACTCAGCTACTACAACTTAAAAAAAAAAGTCTATAGAGCAAAAAATAATGGTATAATTTTTTTTATAATTTAATGACATTTAATTAATGATGTTTTTTGGTTAAGGTTTTTGTATCTTAGCCATATAAAAAATTGCTGAACTGATGGCCTTAGTGAGTTAAGAATAAGAACGGACCATCTGCTAACAGCCACAGGCACTAAATCTTCAGCCCAACAGTATGCAGAAGGGGGAATGACTCGGCCCATTAAAAATAAAATTTCTCACCACACCAGTATTATTAAAAATGGAATACTCTCGACAAAATTCATCTCTGTTGCTTCAGTAAAGATCTTTCTTAGGGGCTTTAATTACTGTTTTTGGAAGGTAATAGATCACCCAGGCAAATCTTTGGTAATCTTCTTGGAAGCTTCCTTCACTTGCCACTATAATTATACTTGCAACCAAAAATTACATGATCTTGTATCAGTGGATTGTTTTTTTTTTTTTTTTTTGATAAGAAATGGACATGTGATCTTAATCAACTACCATATCTCAAGCTTTTTCATTTTTCTTTCTTTTCCTACCTCAGTGGATGCATTTATGGTTTACCATGTACTACCCTATAAGACCAAAAGAGAAAAGTTCTTAATCAAGAATAATTTTTCTCTGGTTTTCTTTTACAAAAAGAATCAAATTCTTTCGGTCTAGGAAGCTTCCTTGGTATGAGAAAACTCGTATCATTATAAAAGCTTACATGATTATATGTATATAAAGATTTTGTTGCAAGTTGCAGTAAGATCGATAACAAATTACAATACCAAGAAGAAAAAAATGCAGCATGTCTCTTTCTCATCATTCTGCTGCTTCTTCTTGGTTTTCATCTTCTTTCTGTTCACTCCTAAAGATGAAATCTCTGCAACAACCATGTTGTCTGTTGATGTTATCAACAAAACCTGTCAAACATGCTCGGACAAGTCCAGTGTCTTTAACTACAGCTTCTGCTTGGCATCTCTCCAGGAAATTCCTGTCAGCCGCACGACAAACCTTCAAGGTCTAGCAATTGTTGCAATGGAGCTAGCTTTACAAAATGCGACCAACACACTTTCAATCATAAAAGAGTTACTGAACAACGAAAGTTTGATTCCTTCTTCGGCTTGCTTGCGGGATTGCTCTCTGCTTTACTCTGATGGAGTTGAAACACTGGTGGATACCATTGGAGCATTTTTGACAGGGCAGTATGGAAATGCTGGTGCCTGGATGAGTGTAGTGATGGAAGGAACGACAACATGTGAGGAAGGGTTTCAAGATATGGAAGAAGTGTCTCCATTGACAAAACAGAATTACAGTCTTTTCCAGTTATGTGATGCTGCTTTCTGCATCATGAACTTACTTGCTTCGGATGTATATCTTCTTAAATCTTAACTCTTTTCACTTATTGTTTTGATAGAAAAATCTTAACTGCTATGTCTTATTGAACTCACAATTCTAATTTTCCTGTTTCTTGGCTGATTTATGTTGCTAAATGCACATGTTTTGGACTTTTGGCAAATCTTTATGCATGCTTCTATGCTGCCATTATTATGAAGGTCAACATGGGGCCATAATACAGAAAAATTCACAAAATTCAATGCCATGCATACCAGCAGACATAGCCGCATACCAATAATTTTTCCAATAATTCTCCTTGTCCCATGTCTTATGAGAACCACCCTAAAGCCAAGTATTTTCCCTCACTTCGAGAAAATGGATATTGGAAACGAACAAAATGCAAAAGCAAGAAAGTCTAATCCGTTGAAACCTCCAACTTCATTTTCTGAGAAACTCTTAAAAGATTAAAAGAAAAATTTGATGAAACTGGAAATACTAAGTGGAGATGGAAAATAAGCTTGTCAAAAGACCCAGTACTTGAAGTCATTGAATTGAAAATTCTTCTGAAATTTCAAATTTGATAAATATGTCAATATTATACAAGGTAGTTGGAAATCTTTTAAATCTTTATTGAAGCAACAAATCTGTTTTCATCTGCTTCATTTAACCAATAGAAATTCCACTAACAAAGAAGCTCAAAATTTTTAAGCACTGGTTACAAAATCTGTCTTAAATTTGTGAAGCATGAAGCCCTTCTTCAGATTCTTCCTCCTCCTTGCTATTGGGATCATAGTTCTCACGATTTGAACTCAACAACAACCGATGATCTCCTTCTGTATTACTTCCAGCACTTTTTACCAGGGAAAGCTGATCCATCACAATTGCATTTCTTTTGTAGTTCCACACTAGCATTGATATGTAGTCCTGTGGTGAAACAAGTCCCTGCTCTCCAATGCAACTTCTTTGCTCTTCCAGAGTTTTTGGATCATCAAGCCTTATATATTCAACTAGTGCCTTCTCATGATCTGGCCTCCAATTGCTAGGGAAGGGTGTATAATCAGTCTCAGGAATGAGAGACATCCTGGTATACTGAAGGCCATCAATTGACTCAACAAGTCCCATTCTCAGCAGATTCTGGTACTCAGGTGACTGTCCTTTCCTCTCCTTCAGAGGACGGCTCAAATTTCTTGCACCAATTTTATAAACCTTTGCTCGTGAACGAAGTTTGTACTTTGCAGCATAGAGCTTTGCCAGTGAACCCCTAATAATATAAGAACCAAAATTAACAACTTTTTTCCGATTGTCTGCATATCTATACCACTCAACCATTGTTGACAAGAACTTGTTCATCTGGGCATTGGTGTGAGCTTGAGTAGCATGAAACATTCTAAAACATGGTTGTGGGTCTGGTTCTCTATCACCCTTAAGAAAGTTTAACTTCCTAAATTGCTTGATGCATTGTTTCAAACTAGCTGTGACCGACAAAAGGGTGCCAACACCTTTCTCACTAATAATCTTACCACCAGTAGCTGTGTACCGAAGAGTTGGATACACCACTCTTCGACACAGTACATGGTCAAGAAACATTATACCTTTGGTTATGTGTTCAATTGGGAGGCTCTCATTATCAAGCTTGATCATATATTTCTGATCACAAAACTCAATTAACTGTTTTCTCAGCGTTGCTGCATCTGCCCTTGGTCCACGGATACCGATCAAAATGTGACCTCCATAGCGTATACAGTCCATCTTCCGGGTCTTATCTGGCCCACTTGTTGGCACAAATTCTGGCCAAGATGTGTTCCCCTGTTCCGCTTCCCCTTCAGGACTATTCCATATGACATCACTCTTTGATGGACGATAGAACTCCTTAATCTTACCTTCCATCCACTGGTCCAATTCATCAAGACATATATTAGCTAAAAGGGGACTAATAATCCCACAATGCCCCCATGAAGGAAGTTTCTCTGCCTCCTCTGGAGCAAATCCAAAAAAAGTCTCCAACCAATAAGGATCAGGCTTTGGCTCATCCTCTGCCAACACCTTCTTCTTCTGATACTTCCTCTTTTTCTTTTTCTTCTTTTCCTCCCCATCAACTGGACTAGTTATCACAGGCGTAACTAATGCCAACTTGATTAAATCAATAACCTTCTTATCCCTCACATCCCTCATCAAAGCACTTATCACCAACCCCACCTTCAGTCCATCCAAAATTGCACTTAAATTACCCTTTATATACCATAAATAACCAGCAAAACTTTTCCTAATCACCCTCAACACTGTATGCGCATTCCTCCCTGGCCTAAAGGAATATGACTTCTGTGAAAACCGAGCCTCATATATAGGCTCCAAAATCATAAACAAAACCTCTTGCACTAACTTATCTTGAAATGGGGCGGGCTGAGTAGTGGTTAAAATGGCCTTAATCTTCCTCTTCGACAAAGATTCATAATCGGTCTTGTCCTTAGGTGATTTTATAAAGAATTCTAACCTGGCACCCCACTTAAACCTATTATCAAGAACGGCATTTCTTAAGGCTAACAAATCTTCCAAAGCAGACCTAGTGATCGAACTACGGGGCATATACGATCCTATTTCATCAGCACAAACTTTCTGATAAGCCAATACCCATAATTCAAATCTACGAAGATAAGAGGTCAAATTGGTGACTATCCTATCAGGTTCTCTAAAATTCTCAATCCACATCTGTGAACAAACTGATACACCATCTTCTTTCATTAGGTTTGCAGGGTCATCGGGATCGGGTACACGCCGGTGCACCGGAGTAAATGAAAGTAAGCGAAACAAAGCAAACCCATTTGCTCTACGCGTAAAGGGATTAACTGGGGAGTAAAAAAGGGTACTTTTGATGGGGATAACATTGGGATTTCTACGAATTTGATAGGTTAAAATAGTGATTCCTCGATGCATTTGTGAATTACGAAACTAAGCTAGTAATTCACGGTCATTTTTCGTAATTAAAGAATTATTGACGAGAAATCATAAAGGCAATTGAAGAAAGTGCAAAAGTGAAACAGGATAATGGAAGTTTGAAAGAACAACTGAAGTGAAAAATGAAAATCATAAGAGAAAGAAGATTTTGAGTTCTTACTTGAAAGAATTGAAGAGCCCTTAAATAAAACCCTTTCTCTTCAGTTGAGGGAGGAGTTGGTTTGAGCAAACCCTCACTAAACCCTGTGCTTGTTTTGTTCTGATGTTGCGTACTGCCCCTTGCTTTTGCAACAATTACATTTGTGTCCCCCTCCTTTCTTTTCACTACTAATTTATTGAATATTAATATTTTATGTTTTGTGACAAATAAATGTAAACTTAAAAAGTAGCATTATCGTTTATTATTTTTTTTAATGTGAGAAAAAGATGTAATTCAAAAAAAAAAAGTATTATCACTTTTTTTTACCATTTATAAGAAATTACGTCAATAATAACAAAAAAAATGTAATTATAATTATACCATTTAATATTTTTTAATATAATAAAAATAGTTGAAAATATTTGTTTGATAAATAAATAAATAAATATATTAGATGATTTATGTTTGTGCTGAGCTCCAACGTAAGGTATTCTTGAAAGAACAGAAGACTGAAAGAGAACGATTAGATGTAAAAATATGAAGTATTTTTTACGTTTGTATTTTAACGTACAAGTCAAAATAAATGAGGTAAAAAAAAGAGTAATGTAAAGGATTAGTAGTAGATGAACTTGCTTTAGTGATGTCTGGATATTTATATTTATAGATAAGATGTAAGGGGCTAATAGGGGACAATAATTATATGGCTAAACTGATGTGGCATTGAGTGTGTTATGTCAGATCGGAACAAATATTTAAATTACCCATGGCTATCTATTAAGGCCTTCTAATGAGAAAAAAACTATTATACATTTTTTATCACCAAATGCTTTCGACATTCTATCCTTTCATTGAGCAGTTTGAGTATCAGACTACTAGGTATGTGGTTAACACATTTCATGCACGCTAGACAGATGAAGGAGGATGATGTGAAATTTGATCCTTTGTAGCTGATGTCATCATGGAGGTCAACATTGAAAGACAATTGGCTTTGAGCTATAGTCTGACTTAATGGGGGGTTCGATTTCATGCGTGTGCCTTGGGCTGAGTGCATAGCTAGCTTGAGGGTTGCTAAGTATTAATTATTCGGGATGATCTAAGATTTGGTGAGAGTTCATCTAGTCAATGTGGGACTAAAACGTTTTTTTTTTTTTGAAAGTTTGAATTGGATCTCTATTTTGAATTTTGATGAAAAACTAGACATCAGTTCATCAGGTTAGTTTGGGCTGAGGGCTCTGCCTGGTATGTACTGGAGAGCTATTTGGTCTGGCTTGTTTGACCTTGGGGGCTATCTGGTCTAGTCAATCTGATGGCATTAAATAAGGAAAGAGGTAACTTAAATAGAAAAATCTAGAACACGTCTTCCTATCTATGCTCTGACACGTGGGGTAATCTAAACCATTTATCTTATCTAAATGGCGATTATATAAAGGGTCGTTGAGCCTTCATGTTCAACCTTTTTGCTTTCATTGCTTTCAATTTGACCTAAATTTTTTAACTTTAAAAGCTTTTTAGCCTTGTAGTTCTTATTATTTTCATCTATTCTCTCCATTTTTTTTAGTACGTACTTTCCATTATGTCTTCTAGTTTTAGTTTTTGGGAGGCCAGGAGTTTCAGGGTAGAACCTAAGGGAGGTTAGCTTAAGGAAGACGATGATGACCTAATTTCACCAGTCATCGAAGGTCAAGACTATAAGAGGATGGCCTATTAGTTCAACCCTATGTCTAAGAAAAGGTAACAACAAAATGATGATAATACTTGAGCAAGAAAAGAACGTGTTCTGAACACAGAGGAGCTATATGCTAAGATAAATTTTGATTTAGAAAATCCACCTCCACTTCATTATCTTGTCTCTTAGGTCAATTCATCTTCTTTAGTCGACCTTCATTCGTCTTTGGCTGTTCCCCCTATCAGGATAAAATCTTGTTAATTTTTTTTTTGCTCTGTCACCTATAAATGCTCTTATTGTCACTTTTATTCCCCCTTGATCAACTCTCATTGAGATTATTTCTTTTTTCAAGGGATCTTCACCTCGCCTTTCTTCTCCTGTAGTTGTAATGCTCTCAGCCACTATTCTATCTCGGAATCCTGCTCTTGTTCAAAGTCAGAGTCTTCTGGTAGTGAAAATTCTAACGATGAGGAGGGTTCTGAGAAAGAATAGGAGGAAGGGGTACCCCAGCTAGGGTAACTGACGAGAAGAGAAGAATCCCTTAGAGTAGGATGAGTTGGCCAAGGTTTTGATATATACTCTTTATGACTTCGGTATGATATCCAAAGATATGATGAAGGAAC